ACTGTAGCCTTGGCCTTGGTGAGCACCTTCTTGTACGATGGCTGCGCTGCGGGGAAGGGTCAACTTCACCTTCGGCTTAGGCTTGGGTGCCGGCAGAGCCTCCGTCTCGGAGTGAGCTGCTAGCTGGTCGAGGATGTCCGATAGGTTGTCCGCCGATCTGTTGAGGGCCCATTTCAGGGGACCCTGTAAACGTCCGGAGATCTGAGAGACGCGGGCAATTTCAGAGACAAACAGTCCCCCGCAAGCCCTCAGCTGTTCAAAGTTCAGTCTCTCATAGTCCACCTTGGACTTGGGATTCGGCGAGATTGAGCCCGCCCGGCTCTTTTCTCTGCGGATCAGACTGGCCTTGGCCCTCCTGTCAAGGTCGGCATTAATATCGAGCTCCTGCAGCTCCTCCACCCTCCTGTTATAACTCTTGGGCCCGCTGGCCACTGCCGGTCTTCTTTACCACGGCGGGCAGTGTTGAATTTGGGCGTTGGGCCCGCCTCCTCTTCCGAAAGGGAAGAATTTCCATCCACAGAGGCAGGCTCCTTCCGGCGAGCCTCCCATCCGGCAACGCAGAGGTTACGGAAGACTCCGACCCATGATCCGGAGTCCGTCCTGTTCGTCGTGCTGTGGTTGCTGGTTTCGGCGTATGCCTTCGGGGCATAGGCCTCCACCTCTTGGTTGTCGAGTTCCAAATCGTAAGGCGAGTTCATGTCCGTTGTGGGTTTGCGTTGGTCGCCAAATCACAGCTGAGGCCGCGAAACAGTGGTGGTCTCCCCGTATACACGAGACCGATCGCCTTTTGGGCGGCCACGGGATTCCCTAGCATGGCTCCCTCTAGTTTTTCATAGAGCCACATCCAAGTCCTTCACTTGCACTTTCGTCGTGAGTAAGTAGTAGAACTAGTACAAATGCTGCTGTGTTTCGCTTGTCGTGCCGTCTTTTACCTACTTTAGCCCTCCTTCCCTACCCCTCCATAGAGCCCCGTTTTAGTCCTTATTTGAACTTTTGTCGTTGTTACCTACAAATGCATAAGATACCGCTGTGTTAAGCTTGTTTTATCGCCGTCTGTAGGACCTACTTTTTAGCCCTTCTTAGTCCTCCACAGAGCCCCTTCTAAGTCCTCACTTGCATGCACTGCCATCGTGAACAGTACAACTACAAGTTGCCGTCTGTACTATCCCTCCCTAGTCCTCCATGCAGTACTATCTAAATCCTCACTTGCACTTTCGTTGTGAGCAGTACAAATACATAAAAACCCGCTGTGTTTAACTTGTGTCCCCGCCTGTACTCTAAGCCCAATAGCCCCTAGCACCATAGAGCCCATCTAAGCTCTCACTTGAGCTTTCGTCGTGAATAGGAAGTACAACTACAAGATATCGCTGGTTTAGCATGTGCCACCTTCTATTGTACCTACTTCAGCCCTCCCTAGTCCTCCATAGAGTTCCGTCTAAGCCCTCACTTGCACTTTTGTCGTGGGTACCGACAAATACATAAAATTCTGGTGCATTTTTTAGCTTGTTTTGCCGCCATCTGTACTCCTCGAGTTCCCTAGTCCTCCATAGAGCCCCGTCTAAGCCCTCACTTGCACTTTCGTCGTGAGTAAGACAGTTGGCCGTCGGCCAGCGGGCTCACCTGCGCCGTCCCACTTCGGCTTCCGTCCACGGCTTGCCCAGCCTATTTATAACAAGTGACGAACCAATTGATTAGTTGGATTCGGGGGAACACGTACAACTGTTGAACTGGTGAATTTTCTTTGCGGACGGGAGTTGATGCCCAGGAGTGTATGATCCATATACGCATTTAGATGGGGCCTGGCTTTTAGGTCTTGATCAAAATTGATAGCTTTATGTATTTGTAAGAACCCCCTGACTTATGGAAGAACTACATAACAACAACTATGTACCTACTACAAGGGTATGTAAACGTAAAAATTTCGACATTCTAATTTATTTATTTATTATTGCAAAACACTTGTAAGCTTACAGAGCAGGTCCAAAGCGCTTACAAGCTTAAAAATAAAATAAACATATCATACACTTAGGTCACAAATAAAATACTAATAAATTTTATAAATTGGCTGAAACGAATATAATATGTAGGTACCTAGACTTACCTACTTTAAAACGAAAGATCACTCGTTTACAATGTAGCAAAGCACGTATTGCAGAATCGGGATGACCGTGCCGCAAACAAGTTAATATTATAAATATTTAAAATAAAAACGATGCTCTTTACTTTCTCCGAATTATCTACTTCCAAACTATTTCCACCCACATCCTTGACAGAGAGCATTATCCTGTGACGTATCACCGGCTAGACGCGTGGGCATATAAATTGGCAAGGACGCCGCATGTCTGTTGCGTACTTAAGCTTCCTGAACCGTATCTTGATGGCATGAAGGCCTATTTTTTACCACCATTAACAAACCACGTCACATCATTCATAGTTGCACCGTTGCTTGAAGAGATCTCAACACCTACTTACAGGAGATGAGGTCATTTGATTCGCAAATGCGAAGCTCCTCGCATTTATTATCACGCCAGATTCTTGGATTGGAATTTCAAGTGGTCTTTACGCAACACCTTTCTGTGAAGGCCTATGATGTAAGGCGGTGGGTAGCTTTTTCGTTTCAATAAACTTGAATTGAAGGTATGGTTAAAAAAATATATTTTCATCTTCAGGAAGAACTTCCGCACTATAATGTGAGATTGATAGGACAACGACACAGATGTTTGTCTGAACATTACGATCAACACGACCATCTCAATTTCGTCACAACTAGACTTCTGCGGTTACGAATAAAGAACTTCAAGTCTCTTTCTTTGATGGTTTTTATTCCCGTTGTCCTCACCTAGGCTTGTCCCCACACATTTATTTTATTAAGTTTTTTTTCATTCCCGCTGTCCCCACTCCTCCGGCCGGTAAGGCGGATTCAACGGGAATAAAAATACTAATACATTTTAATTATTTGATAAAATCAATAGGTGGGGACCTAGTGGGAACAACGGAAATAAAGATACCCTTAGTTCTAGAGGAATGCTTTTTCAATAATCTAATTACATCAGCCAGCATCGGTCTCCAATATTCACATTTCATATCTGGGCTTCGCTAACAAAAAATAAACACGCCCGTATTCACAAACGATGCTTACTTAAGTTAAAATATCGAACGCACAGCGTTGAATCGTGCTCTGTGATTAGTTCGTGTCACCTTGTGCGTCCACGCCCACTGTAAGACCTCACAGTAATGTTTGTGAATACGGGCGATAGAAACGATAGAAGACTGAAAATGATCAAAGCTGTTGAAAAATCTTCTCCTGCTCACAATGGAACTCAAATGGCTAATGTGCCTACTCACTCTAGTAATTACGATACGGCTCCTATTGACGGCAGTAACAATAGAGCAACTGTTTACGCAGCTGTCAATAAATCAACGTTGTCTAAAACGCACTCCCCAGATAATGGCGAATGGCAACCTAAACATCTATTTGCGGCCGATATCTTTATGAATGGGACCGTGGGTGGAACAAATACGGGCCTGAATGGATGACGTCAAGGCTTGGGGATGGACGCGAATGTCAGGGGTCAGTATCTGGGCCGGTGACGCAATGTCATATTTATAGGGAGATTTATGAGCACTCGTGGGTAGCACACGTAGCAAAGATTAGGGAAATTCATGACAAGCAGATAGATTTTAAATTCTTTCTATCACTGTCACGGTAGGTAACATGCAGCAGTCTCTGAGACACGTTAAAAGAACGCTCCAATGAACCTAAGTAGGTACCAACAAGAAAAGTGGAAAATGTCTTCCTAATTTATAAGGGTATAACATCGGGAAGAGTTAATATTTTCAGCTTTCATTTGCGTCCGTCTGAAACCTAATATTTGTAAAAAGATTTGGAATCCCAAGTAAAGTACATAAGTCTAGTCCCGTTGGTATACAATATAGTGTTGTCACACAGACCGATCTTTTCAATTTAAAAAATACAAATACAACATTTGTTTTCACGAAAATTCGTGGCGCAATTTCTTGAAAATCCCGCCCAATCTATTACAAACAAGCATTAAGCTGACACGCTCTAAAGATATAGTAAATGATTTACAACTAGCTCGGAGTTTTTCACTCCCTGAAATGCGGCCAATTTTTTTGTCCTATGGATGTCCAAACGAGTGGCTCCCGTTTAGATAACACAGGTTATTTCTGGTCTTACAAATGTTACTCGTCAGACGAAATAATAAGGCCATTGGCCTAATGACAGGGACGTTATTTTTAGTGAGGGACTTTTGAAGACGACTCATTTTTGTGTTTGAGGTGAATTCGGAGCGAGAACCGTTCATGCATTTCCAGTGGCCAACAAGCGCGTAAAATATAGAAAATACTGCGATGCAGATAAAAAAGACACCCGAAAAGTTCAATAAGGTGTGCGACATAAGATAGTGATAAGGATTTTTGAATGGAAATAATTTTAAAAAGATCTAAATTCCTTTCATTCACATAATCCATTGAAAAAAATTGATTTAACTATGAACAAAAGCAACAAACAATTCTGCACTCTATCATTTTCTTAGCACTTTGATGAGCAACCTTCCAAGGTTCCCTAACTATTATTCCGAGACTATGTACCCTACTCCAGTACACTCCACATAACTTTAAGCTAATAACGACACAAGATACAAACCGTACATAAGTCTTTTTTTTATGTGATAGGAGGCTTTTAGTCTGAGGACGGCATAGAAGCTGAAACTAGACTACGATTCAACTTTACGAGACTGCTAAAGCCCTAACTTCTGCCATCTCTTGCTTATCCACGCTATCAAGGCTCTTCATTGCCACCGGACATCATAAAGGTAGCAGGAAGGCCCTGGACGCAGGCCGATACCAACCGGGCAACACGGAAAGCCTATGTTCAGCAGTGGACGTCCTATGGCCGAGATGATGATGATGATGAGATACTGAGCGCCATTTTTAGTAGAATCCTATCAACCACATTAACCACCACCTCTCCTCCCCAGGCAGTCCAGCGCGAGTGAGCGAGATGACGTCAGTACGGACGACGCGAGGCGCGCGCGTGCGCCTTGAGTGCAAGGCGAGCGCGCGGCCGCCCCCGCGCATTGCGTGGTATAAGGACGGGAAGCCCGTCGCAGAGATTGCGTTGAGGCGATTCCGGGTGCAGAAATTCAGGTAAATTTAGCAATAGGTACTATGAGTATGCTTGGTCCATACACAATAATCGGCCTGGTTTCCACGCAGAGAAGAAATGTGTTTGGAAATCAAATTAATTTGTTCAAACACTTCTCGTCTCCTCTACTCTGGTGGAAACCTTTATTTTTATTATATTAAGTATAGGAGTAAAATAGTTTACAGCCGAAAGTGAAGAATTTGACTGAAAAAACTTTAGACAACAGACAGAGCAGACTCCAAACCAGAGTAAATCGTAGTCATACGTAACACGTAGGTAGTATGCATTCTCTATCAGTAGCAATCTGAATCGCTCGAGCTTTGATGTTAAGTTAGAAGAAACTAAGTATACCTAAGCAGAAAACTTCCATGGCATAGCAATAAATTTTCCATTTGTGTCAAATGGCACGTAAGAAGTCTTTTCGCATTCTGAAGAGGCGTGAGCTTGTACACTAAAAGGAATAAACCTTTCCTCGTAAATATAATATTACGATATAATGAGCGCAAGCTGATTAAGTGACACAATTTCTTTTTCCAGCTAAACGTTATGACCCACTTATGCTCGTAACTCGCAATCTTGATCTTGATCCAAAATTGTTTCTACAAACAACAGCGCGATGTAACCAAACAAATGGTGCTTGCATTCATATGGTGTTTGCATTAGCGTTCATTGCTCAGGCGCAGATTGAGCTAATCGCAACTGCAGTCGACTGTCATTGACCGGCTAAGGTATCAACAACTTAGCCCACCAGCCAATAGACAAAGGGCCTTATTACTCAGTGAAAAGGGTGCCAAATGATGCACTTAGCAGCAACTGTAACAGGCAATTATGACGAAGTGACGCGAGCAATTTCACGGGTCATTTGAGATTAATATCAGACATCACCGTTTGATGGTATTACAACTGAATAGGTAAATGCAATTTGTCTGTCTGCGATGAACTGAAACAAACACCGATTCATCAGTTCAATACTTGCTTTATTTCTTTAAAAGTGAGTCACCCTTTGTCTTTGGAATTCTATCGCAGTACTTGATGGTATTTTAGCGATCGATCTGGGCTTGCGAGATTGATGTATTGTTCGACATCAGTGACTAACTTTAGGTTCCACTCGGTAAACGATATCGGTTTATTCGATCCTATCTCTCTTAATCGTCCACTGTAGCTGGGATGAGTAAAAAAGACGGATAGAGTCGATATTTTGAAATCATTTTGTAGAGTTAAGACTCGATGACTTTGAGAATCAATAGGATCTTATAAAACCCGTCATCAGTGATCATAATGATGTCACGCAGGAGATTATGGCTAGTCTTTTGCATATTTCAAATGACGGTTACTTATTGCACATTATTAATGTTGGCTATTAAAAGTTCAATGTACCTGCAGTAGACCTTTAATAAGTGTTTTGTTTATTCAACATTTGCTGTCGATACTTGCAATGCAAAGAACTTTTGGTTTTCTCTTAGCTGCTGATGTTCTTGTTTTAAAAGAACTCTTAGAAGAACTTGAACATCTTTACCTATTGCAGCCATAAATTAGTTTATAGCGCATATTTCGAGGCGAGCGGAGCGGAATTTTTTTATTTACGTATCACTTGTATTGTGACCGGAAAACAAAATAATATCTTCAGAGTTTCCTCCCGCGCCCTAGGCAACCTGGCTGTGGCGGCTAATCCGGTCACTCTTGGCTGCCTAGTGCGCAGGCTCCCATCATAAGGTTCGATTAGCTGCTGCAGCCAGATCTTGTTTCTTTCTTGAACTAAATTCTGCCAACTGTCACTGTCCTATATTAACTTCTCAATCCAGCTTTTTGTTCATTCCAGGAGGCGCTCGGTGTTAGTAATAAGGCACGCGCGGTACGAAGACTCCGCGACGTACGAGTGTAGAGCGCAGGGAGCCGTCGGGCCTCCGGCCACGGCCTCTGCCAACGTCAGCGTAATGACGCCAAGCACGTCACCGCCTGACACATGTGAGTATCCTTCGAGAACATTCTAGAAGTTCAATCAATAATTCCCTATTGAATACCCTATTTTAGTTCCGTATTAAGTACGCTGCTAAATATTGAAGTCTTCTCCAATTTGCGCCACACGTTGTGGCTTCTCCCGCTCAGGTGAAGAGGTCACCAATTGGTTGCTGATTCTCAGCCAAAGCTTTACGCCCTTTTTCATCGCCATTCAAAAATCTTCAGGCTCCATCGCATCAAACTGTCATTGTGCTGTTCTGTTACTCAGGGCCTCTCCCTAAGTCACTGTTCTGGATTCACCCCTATTCACCCAAATGAATCCCCCACTCCCCAGCGATAAGCCTGCCTAAATTGTGCCATTTCTATTTTTTATTTCTTTTTTGTGGTTCATTCATAGTCCTCGTGGAGTAGCTACCATGTACCACATTATCCTACATATTTGTTATCACGTCACTTCAGTTTTATGAATATCCCCTAGGTCCAGAATTTGTAATGTTTCTTTTCTGATTTCAGCGTCGGTGGGTGCGCCCTGTCCGATGCCGGACCCCTCTTCGTACTGCCTCAACGGAGGCACGTGTTTATATTTTGAACCAGTACGGGAGCAGGCTTGCAAGTAAGTAATGTATTTAGTACCTATATTTTGTTCTTGTATGGGCTGGAGTACCATTTCAAGATTTATCGAAGTTTAGGCAAAACGTTTACGTGACGATAAACACTTACTTATTGCCAAAAAGTTGCCAAAGCATTCTCATACATTGCAAGTTACTCGTAACTACCATGTCCTTTTTGAACCCATTAGGCCCAGAACAGACGGTGAAACGCAACTGCAACTGCTAGTTACTTTTGAGTTGCATCTAAGTTTCTGCCATAGCGTCCGTTGAGAGACCACACATGACGCGACCAGTTTGAAACTTTCAGTTTCAGTTTCATTCATAAGAATCATCAGAAAGTTGCAGTTTCGTTACAGTTGCGTTTCACCGTCTGTTCTGGGCCTTATCTAGTGGTTTAACTGTTTATTAATTTCTTCTGATTACATAACGTTTAAAACCCTAGTTTTCCAAAATAAACAATGGCCTAGACATTTTAAATCTAAATTACTAATGTAAAAAATACATTTTCCAGGTGTCCAGAAGGCTTCAACGGACAAAGATGCGAGAACAAGGACGTATCAAATAGAAGCAGTATGTATCACCACCCCTATACATGCAAATTGGGCTTATCGACGTCCTTCTACTGTTAGCCGGCGGTTGCGCCGGCGCAGAACCCACCTTGTTCCAATTTTGAATTTAAATTTTAGCTCGCGCGTTCCGTTGTACTACACCCTTCGTAAAAACAAATGAAAAATATGGAGTTCCTATTTTGAATTAAGAAAACGGTTTTTATGCATACAGCAATGTCTATTATTCTAAAAGCTGGAAGTATTTTACGTTAGTTCTGGACGTATGCAAAAAGACAGATCATAGCAATCAACCAACATTACACTGACACGAGTGTTATTTTATAAGCTAATAAAAGTAGATTAAATTACTGTAACCAATAACATTTTTATGGGTTAATTCCATCGGTTATTATTACGTTATTCCAGCGTAGTTTAATAGAGATTGGTGTATCATCTAGGGTTGTAGTCCGGAACGCGCAGTCGCTACAAGAATGGACTGTAATCCAGTTGGTTTTTGTGTCGATGTAGCTAGACATGCCTATTTTTGTTTGTAGTTAAGGGTCAGCTGTTTAATGGCTATTGTAAATACACTTTTTTCCGAATCTCAGTCTCATCTACGTTTGGATGAGGATTTGTGAAGATTCCATTTTTTATTAGTTGCATTAGTTGTAGTCTTGCCGTTTAGCTAAGTCAGTTTCTGAGATTTTCCTCGACTCTACCATAGAAATTGAGTATTGCTCAAGGCAGTTTTGAAGGAGGAAGGTGGAAATACCTTGCAATAGATATCGAAAACGACTTTTTAGCAGTTTAAGAATGAAAAGCTTTTCAAACAACAAAAGAATACTACCAAGTAGACTCTATACGAATCTAACGCAAGCAATAATAGTAAACCTAAGTAATCTTAATGGTCAAAACCAAGTCAAAATTGAGACGAGTCGAACAAAGACATAATAAAAAATTAAATATGGAGTTACAAAGTATAAGAGTGTATAAAATAGTTTAACCGTCAGAATTCTAATTCTAATTTGCACAAACACCCACGTAGACGAACTTCTACACGATTTGTAGGTGGTATACCTAGGTAAAAGGGCGTGGCCAATTGTACCACCTCTTCAAATCCCTCCCAGTAGGTATATAGTAAATTCATAGTCATAAGTCACTTACTAAAGTTACTAAGTATTTAAACTGAAAATTTATGAAACTGCACTTAGCTAAACGGCAAGAAGAGCTATAGTAGATATAGCTTCAACTTCCAGTTATAGGTAAATGGCTGGCCCAGTGAGATTATAACTTTTAAGCATTTTATTTTCTAATTTATGTTCCGACATTTATTAATATTTAATAAAAGAACTGAACGTCATTCGAGTTTAGATTAACGAGTTTCCGAAATAATAGTAGGCTAATGTAGTTATGAATGCTTTGAGATGCAACCGAAAATTTTTTTAATTTGCTTTTCGTTTAAACTTTAAACAAATCTGAACCCCTCATAGTAAAAGCTTTTAATTTTCCTTCTATTGAAGTTGTAAATATTTTACACATATTTGTATTATTACGATTTATTTCATTGTTATTATTAATTTATGTTAAGGTTTGGTAACTCGTAGCTGTAACGTCCTGAAATGAGACTAGCAAGTTATGTACATATCTATTAGTTTAAGGCAGTTTTTATAAAACAAATTATACATCATAGTAAAAATTATATTACGTTCTGCTCGCTGTACTTATTTGGTTGTTCTCTTATTTTTTATTTATCAATGCATTAGACAGATTTATTATATTTTTATTCACTTAGGTATCTTTTTAGTTTTTATTTTATCTTCAGTAGAGCGAGTAAGACAACTACATCACAAATCAATTCTGAATGGTGAAATATTTCATTCATTTCGTTAGATACCTAGTCAGAGATCAGTTTTAATACTATAGCTAGGTTAGCCTAGATTGAATTTTATGTATAATTTTTGAGTGTCAATTGGAAGTATGGTTGGGGATGTAGTGAAATATTTTTTTTTAGTATATTTCTTGATTTTTTCAAACATATTACGATTTTAAATCCGTTTTTGGGACCGAATACTCACTCAGTAGGCAGTTTAAATCTTAATTTTAAAGTTTTCATTTTGTATAAAGTTTTCTATTAATTTTTAAGTTCACTATTTATATGTAATTAAATCAGAAGGGAATTATTTATTTTTAATACATATCGATGGTTACATGCTTGAGGCTAGTGGCATCATTGAAATATTACAATAAAAAAGAGATTATAATAAAATAATTTTGAAAAAGATTAATACAAGCTAATAATTATTAAAAGTAATCAATAACATTTTCAATGACGTCATCGCGCCCATTTTCTCACAACAAATATTAAGGCGATTGTGTTTAGTCATTGTAAAGATACTATACCAAAATCACAATAAATGAATGAGTGTTGGAATTAACAGAATGGCGACAATTTGTTTTCTTTTATCTTAATTTACCTAAATCCTCAAAATGGCGAAAGTTGGAAGCCAACATGAAAAATGGTATGTATTATTCGAAATTTTATTTATGTCGTGCACTGAATTAACACTCAGCACTCATTTTACGAAATGGAAAAAATACTTTGCATTTTTTACATATTTTTTTTATTATGTATTGTGACAAGGTTTTTTTTTTCATTTCCCATTTTGTATTTAGTGACTAATGCTTAGTAAATATTGTAACAAATAACAACATAGATGCATGGTCTATAAATAGGTACATTTTATTTAAAAAACTTAATTATTTGTTGTGAGATAAATAAACGCGGTAACACTGCATGCAACACACCAAAAAATGAAAAAATAGCAAAATATTTGTTGTTTACTTTTTTTTTCTGTTACAGGTAAAGGAGAACCATTATGGTAGGATTCAACTTGGAAACGAATTTGAAGTTTGGAGAGAAATCATTCCTGAGGTCTGCACAAAATTATACATTGACTAGTTACAATTCGGCTTTAGTCATCTCTCTCACTCTCATTAAGAATGCTAGGCTGAGTGAAAGAGAAAAAGATGTTAAAGTTGGAATCAATTTGCAAAATAGACCTTCTGTTGGCAAATTATAAAAAAGAAATGTAAAGTTACATATTTTTCTTTAAATGTAAAATTACATATTTTTAAGCAAAATAATCTTTGAATGCCTTGGCCATTGGTTTCCGTTTAAATAGCAGATTGCTGACGCATTTCGGTGTAATTAAACTTTACTGTGGGTCAATAGGATAAGCTTTTGTATTATAATTTCGATTAGTTTTAAGTTAATTTATAATAGTGGTGCTTACAATGCGACTTATTGTATACAATGTAAAGGGCGCTAATTCAATACGAGTAAATATTTACTCTTTCTTTAAATCTTAGTATGAACCTTGTTGAATTAATTAAAACATCTCTATCAACGCCAAAATTACACTATTTCATAAAACTTAATGCATTCGGTAGCCTAAACTATAGGCCCAGGAATTTCAGTGGTGGAAACGAGAGGTTGAATTAGTCTCAACTATCCTTCAAGAAAGAAATAAAAATCAATATTTGGTACCAAATAAATAAAACTTAATTCTACCTACAGCTTCAGAGGAGCGTAGGTGTACCGGGTTTGACGTAGACCGTCTCATTCATACGCATTTCGTCACGAATTCAAAAATAGGACCACCATTCACATTCGAATGTAAGTAGGACCATTTTTTAATTGTACCTACCTAACACATAAGCCGAAGGAGAAGCTACCAGACTAAAGAGTGACAAAACCTCAGATCATAGATGATGTGAGGACAATACATTAACATCATGTGCATGTGCATTATCATCGAGAAACCCTAAATACCTACTTTGAAAATCAAACTAAAATATGAAGGACTTAAAAGGCTACCTTGAATCCCAACTAATATTATAAATGCGAAAGTAACTCTGTCTGTCTGTCTGTCTGTCTGTCTGTCTGTCTGTCTGTTACGCTTTCCCGCTTAAACCTCGCAACCGATTTTGATGAAATTTGGCATAGAGATAGTTTGAGTCCCGGGAAAGAACATAGGATAGTTTTTATCCCGGTTTTTGAAACAGGGACGCGCGCGATAAAGTTTTTCTGTGACAGACAAAATTCCACGCGGGCGAAGCCGCGGGCGGAAAGCTAGTAAACAATAAAGGCGCGTTCACATCACGTGGTACACGCGAGAATTATACCGTTCGTTCGTACCATGTCATTCACGCCACAGTACATAGTGAAAAATACTTGTATGGATCCTTTTTGTGAGAAATAAAACAGCTTTTTAAATATATTGATGTGTCCTTACCTCGCATTTTCTGTAAGATCTCAAGTGCCCGGAATTATTGAAATGTTAAGTTGTATTAACAGATTGTACAGTATTATTTGCTGAATAGATGATATTTATTGTAGCTTGTAAACGCTATTTTAAGAGCTTTGTTATACATAATAAATTAATCAAAACTATATTCATTGTTTTATTACCTTTAGACCTAGGATATATGCGCGCCACGATAAATTTTTACTAAGTTACTATTCTATCGATTTGGCACGTTAAATCCATACATTTGTCGTCTAAAGGAGTCGTTAAGATTAAATCATGGCGCGCATCTTAGCCCGGCTAGTCTATTGCATGACTCGATTGGTTTAACACAGAAAAATACGCTACAAAATCCCTAATGTGTTGGTAACCATGTAAATGTTTAACGCCCCTATACACAAACATTACTATGAGGTGTCACAGTGCAGGTGACCTACGAGCCAATCACAGAGCTCTATTCAACGCTGTGCGTTCGATTTGCTGCTTCACTTAAGCAAGCATCGTCTGTGAATACGGGCGTATGTATCTGTCTACCATAAATAAAAGAAATAAGTAAGTTACAATCCTTTAATAAATTGATTGTTCCGAAAAATGCATCTAAAATTAAAATGTAAAAACCTTACACTACAACTTAGACTAGCTACCATAATATTTACACGAATACTGCGATACCCAGTCGATAATAACCGCAAGATTACTGCAACTAACTTGTTCAAAAAAAGTACTTTGGAATGTTATTTGTGTGAGTATTCCATAATGTGAAAAATAATTATCAACCATCAGTTGAAGTGATACTCAACCTTTTTATAGTGGTCAATCTCCATATCAGACATTTAGCCATATAAGAGTAAATACAAATGAGTAGGTCATCTTCATAGAAACGCCCGAGCGCGGTTTGTATGTGAGCGCGCCAATACGTATGCGGCGCGCACGCACACACTGACAAAATTTAGCGTGGAGTTGCCCCGAATTTTGTCAGCAACTTGTTTTCATGATTGGTTTCATTAGAAAATCCAATTTTATGTTGCAAAAAACTGCATTTAAATAGACAGGTACAAAGTGGAAACTTCATCTTTATGCAGTATAGCTTTTAGCAATGCTCAAAATAGGTACAAAAATTTGCTTCCTAAACTTAGGAACTTACAAAATTCGGTAAGTTCTTTTCAGTTTACAAGAGCAAATAAAAAACTTAATTATAATTATTGTTAGGAAACAATAAATATCTTAATCTGCTAACTTATAACTAACAACCGTTTCCATTTTATGTAAACTAGTTGTGAATGTTTTGAGCTGAACATTCTGCGCGTTGGCTATCGACACTGGTTCCGCTTCTGCCCATTTCTCCGGTACATCGCAGTCTGTTTTGGCATGAACTAGCACATCGAACGAACACCGACAGTCTAAGAACGGTAGGTACGATATCGTGGCTGCAACTTGTAACATCACATCCCTGATTTCCTGCTGTATTTTCTTCAAATCTTTACTGCCTACGGTCTCGTTTTTCTCCTTAGATAATGCTATGTCACCTTCTTCGTACTGAACGTTAAAATCCCAGCACTCCAAGACTTCTTTGTTTGCTACGTTTAATATAATCAAGGATAGCTTGCTTACTTTTTTGTTGATAATCCATTCTGGAATGTAATAAAGTCTAAGAATAATAAAAATTGAAATGATTGTTCAGTAAGTTTTATAATCTTCTATTAGCTCAATCAGTTTGTAATGGCATAATTCAAACTATAGTCCGATTTTTAATTCGACGGAATTCTGACAGCTGTCATTTTTTGCGAATTCAGATGTGATAAGCCTTTTTTGCTTTGAATTATTAATAAATAATATGAAATGAAATTTCATCAAGTACAACTTACAAGAATGAACTATTGTTTGTTTTGTCAATTCAATGTACACTAATGATTATGTACATTTTAGAGATTAAATAGAAAAAAACGAGTTTTAACACAGTAAAACGACATATTATCATAAACGAAAATATTTATTGATCATCAATAATCATCATCGTCGTCATAATCAACTTGGATTATAAAATTGGGATCTTGTTAAATTGGTTATTTTATGAAGATAAGATTTTATTAACAAAAAGATTTTCATAAAAAAGGTTTGTAACCCATGGATTATTGACCAGGGAGTCCAGTAATAGAAAATTAATTTCCCAACTTTTTTTGTAACTTCAAAAATATGATAATAAAAATTCAAATAACCATTTTGAAGTAATCAGTACATTTTTAAGCCTTAGTTTTTTAAGTGAAACCTTTAATTCAAGAAAGGATTATTTTTTAATTTGTGAAAATGCTCTCCATTCATAATGGGAATGTTTCAATGTTGACAACACTTCTGAAATGTCAAAATTCCGTCGAATTAAAAATCAGAGTTTAAACTGCAAATAATTGCAAAGGGTGATTTCTCAAATTGTTTTTCCAAATCACACCTTTCACCAAATCTATTGGTTAAAGTACTTTGAAATAGAAACATTCATGAATTAATTCCTTAAGAATGTTCAGAGGAATATTTTAGCAAGAACAAATTATTGGCCTGGCACTGGCCCATTTATTGTCCCGAAGCAGTGGTAGGGTTAATATCGGGATGTGTAAAAGTGGTTTTTATAAGCCTATTTGCAAAAATAAATGAGTTTTATGAGTTTTTATTACCTTCACTTTGCTTCAAAAGATTGGTCAGGAAGCTTTTAATTTGAGGATCCTCAGATATCAACAATGTAATCCCGTACTGCTGCTCAGCCTTGAACATCTCTGGTGGGTACAGACCTCGTTGGAAAAGGACTGAGTTGATTGCAAAGTCTAGAAGCAAGATATTAGGCTGATAAAGTATGTGTGCCATCACAGAAAATACATAATTATTTTATTATGATCTTCTACATTTGGGCGAAAATTATAATAACTAAGGACAAGGAGAGTAGTCTTATTAACTGGCAAATGCAAATACAATATCCAACTGCTACCCTATTATGTAGAGATTTAGGTAGATCTACATTTTGTACCTATATTTATTTAATGTTACGGGATATGAGTAAGAGACTACTTGTTGGACAAAGAAATATAACTTTTGTATGAGTATGTAGCTTGGGAGTAATGTAAATAAAATGAAGGATGACTTACTCAGATATTCGCAAATAATTTGAGCAGAACCACGAAGGGTAATGCAGTTTTTAGTTTGTTGCTGCGACATTTTGGTACTTTCTTTCGAAATAATAATAGCAGAACCTTAAAAACAATAACTTTAGTCCTGAAAGAAAGTAAGAAACACTGATTTTCGACAACACAACGGTCGATTTTTTGAACCGCGCAAACTGCTGGGGCCGGTGAAATCAGTGTTGCCAGTCGGGTCTAGTCAGAAATTACCAGAAATTGAAAAAAAAGTAACCTTTTTGAATAAAAAGTAACCTTCATACGCATGGATGGAAAATGAATACAATTGATCATCTAAATTCGAAAAGTGACCAGTCGTATAAAAACGTTTCATGGATTTGCGTTTTATTATCGAAAAACATTCGCTAAAACTCATTTTTTTTAACAAATAATAAATCAAATTCAAGTTTAAATGCACTTTATGACATAATTTTTAAATTGTCACTATTAATATTTTTTACTGAATAACCTTTAAAGTTAATTCTACAATTTCTGAAAAATCACCTAAAAGTAACCTTTTCATTAGTGTAACCTAAAAGTAACCACAGCAGTTCAAAAGTAACCTAAAAGGTTACAAAAGTAACCTTCTGGCAACACTGGGTGAAATGAATTAAATGTCAAATTTGACACCTGTTTGTCGTTCAGAAACACAAAATGTCATGTGTTTATTTGTTTTGTTTCAAATTATATTTTGGTACCAAATAAACGATTTTTCTTTCTTTATTTTCACTTTAATTATTTCGAACAACCTTAAAAAAATGATTGAATTCTCTAGCCAGCAAAAGTATATTCTTTTTTTGGTGTAAAAGTAAATACGCCCAAAAATTGTATGTGCTGTTGATGAACGAAAAGCGTTTGGTTGTTTCTATTTTAAAGCAGCAATGAGTTTGATTTAAATTTGTTCAGTGAGCTGCTATTTATTAAAATAATTAAATCAGAATAAAATAATCTAGTTATAATAATTAACGATATCAATAATTCCTAATAACTGTAATCTTTTCTTCTGTTGGAATTTTGGATCAACCATGTTGAATAATAAAACGTGTTAATTGACTGTCAAACATGATAAATGCCAAAATTTCCAAAACATCGTCGCACGCAAACTCGAAAATGTAACGTTACCAAAACAATATTCTCTGAAATCTTTATAAAATTCTATGAAACCTATTAAATAAATAGTTACAGTCACAGGACTTACTTTCATGTCCCCTAATAAGTGTGAAAAATACCGTGATGGGTCGAACACAGAGGAAAAGAAAACAAAACAAAGTGCGCAACTTTCGTACTTGTGACGATGAGAAAGATTTGATATTATTGAACACTTGGCTCTCTAAACAGAGTATAAGGCGAAACGAAAAGCTAGTTCTAGCTGTCTTCGAGGATACTGGCCGAGGAGTGCTTACAAAAAGGAAGATATTGGCGGGCGAAGAGCTGATCAATTTGCCTCTGAATTCGACTTTGAATGTGATCACAATACTGACAGATCAGGCTTTTTGTAGTATATTTTTAGAGAATAAATCTTCATGCTTACTAGATTACAAGCAGTCAGTCTCATTCCAGTCTCTTCTAGCTTTTTATTTGACCTATTTGAAAGTACAAGGTAGTGAGACAAAGTGGCACTTGTATTTGAATAGCCTACCCAGAGAATATACTGTGCCATATTTTTTACCCAGCAATATACAATGTGACATTCACTCCGATATACAGACAGTGATATCCAAGCAAACGGACATAATAAGGTCTTCTTATGATATTTTTTATACAATTTTACGATCAAGTGCAAGTAAGAATAACTTTGTGGCAAAATTTCAAAACAACTTTGATGTGTCTGTATATGAGTGGGCCTATTTTACAGTGAACACTAGATGTGTGTTTATGGACTTAACAAATGTGCTAAATCTTAAAAATGTCAGCGACTCCATACTTAACTTGATTAACGACAACACAAAAATATCACTATGCCCTTACTTGGACATGATAAATCACAGTCCAAATGCTAGAAATGAAACCAAATTGATGGTACGGAAGAGTATGGAGAATGTCAACATTGTGAATTTAGATCAAGATTTTTTTTCAGATGTGTGGTTTTCAATTTATACAAAAAACAATTTTGAACCCTTTACCCAAGTGTTCATTTGCTATGGTGATAGTCATAATTTAAAATTGATCACTGAATATGGATTTTTTCTGCCAGATAATGACTTGGACTATGTGTGTTTTCCATTTGAAGATATTGTAACATATTTAGGTACCAAATCTATCAAACTGTCTCAAGAACAATGTTCGTTTATAACTAGTCATGGTCTAAATAAAGACTTGTACATCGATTTTAGAGGCCTAAGTTTTAATTTGTATGGACTTTTAATGGTTGTAAAGTATTACTATGATCACAGTAAAGATGTAAGTCGGCTGCTTTATTCAGCAGCTGTATGTTCTAGCAATAAAGATTTAAATGATCTAATTACACCACTTGTTATGAACAAGGTGAAAAATATCAAAGAATCAATTAATAGATTAAGGAATAATGATAGTAGAAGTGTTATTTTAAGTAATTGTGTAGAGCTCATGTGTCAATATGTTAATATATTAGAGAAATTTATTAAATGTTAGATGTTGTAATAATAAATGTCTTTTTTTTTCAAAATTTCTTTACCTACATGCTTTATTACCTAGATCAAAGCAGTACAGTAGCTAAGGGCTACCCTGGCTACCCTTACTAGGGCTTACTTAGCTAAGTATAGCTACTCATAAATAAACAAGCATGTTACATTATCTACCTACCTATCTATGCTAGTTAACTACCCTATGGCATAGTGGTAGAGTGAACTGTCATGCATGAGCGTTAGGTCTAAGGTTCAATTATTTTAAGTTTTTAACTCGAGCACTAGTAGGTACCTACGTAAGTACATAATTCTAATTTACTTCATGCCATACGATCTTATTGAATATTTACCTAATTATTATGCATTCAAGTTCAACCAATAAGTAGTTACTACTTCTCTATGGTTACTACAAGAACAAAGCTAACGAACGAGTTTGATCACTTGTGTATCATACGAATTTATATGTGAGATTTGAATGTGATGATAATGAGATAACAAGATTTAATAAATATTAGGCACAGCTATTCGTTTTTTATGAACAAATTTTATAATAATTTATTGCAATCTTTTTTCTGTTTTTCTTAATTTTTTACTCATTTCTTCTATTATGATTATTATTTATGGTGGCAACATCGTTAACACTTGTCAGTGTGCCACCATGGCGGCCGCGCTCCTGTCAAACAGGAAATTCGACAAAATATTTCGAAATCATGTAAAATTTACAAAAGCGTCTAATAATCATAAATCTATAATTCTAAACAAACCACAGTTAAATTTAATTTGTAAGCAATGCGCGGTTACGAGCTATTTCAGGGTATGTTTTTGGTTCCATTCATGTCTTTTGCTATGTTAGTGATTTTCGCGTATTTTTTAAGTTTTCAGTATTTAAAATGCTAATATAACGTGATTTTATTCTTCTAGTTTTACTCAACAACACCTCCAAGCAGTACTGGTGCCTCTGGAGGTGGAGATACAGCGAAAAATGTATTGGCGGCAGTGTTGGCAAACAAACCTAAAACTGGAAAAATTCCAGTTGGTATGTAAATAAACTAATAACTTTGGTTCTTATTATAATAAAATATATTCACAGAATACACGTAAAATTATTCAAGGATATTTTTTGTAGAATTCATGGAGTTACATAATGTAATAATTTGGTCTTGACCTTGTGGGATGAGTACGAAATTCATTATCAGCAATATATGTGTAAAAAGTTCTCAGATAGTATTTTTTGTGGAAGTACTCAATAATATGACATTGATACTAAATACTTCTTGATACATAATAATATCTTGTATAGGTATTTATTTATAGTCTGTTCAAAATCAATGTTAGAATGTATGTATGTACCTACAACAGCACATCAATGTAAACACTGTTTCTTACATAGTTGCGATAAGGTCTATATTGCAACTAAAATCTAGTCTTATGTCCTGTTGCCTGTATGAAACTGACCTTATCCAAATATTGATTCTATGATAATAAACATTCATAATCACAATGTAGATACCTATTTACTAACTGTAATTGTGTTCCTTATCTCTGTTATTAGTTTTTTCTTACTTATTGAGTACTATGATACAGATGAGCTTTTTTGATTTATGCAAAATGCCTGTTGATGATTATATTAATTCCCTGATAGTCATGTAGCCTCTCATACAGACGATCTATATCTATCTATACTGACTATCCACAATATTTGTAGAAAATAAAATTGATTTAATGGTTTGAAAAGTAAATTAACTTTAAAATGCAATACAATTTAAAATTACACACAATTAAAATTATTGGGCTATCCCAATCCAATCAATAAAGTAAGAGAGCTAAAGAGAGTCTCAGCTTGTATTTAGTAGCTTTAAAGAAATATCATTTTTAAAATATGTACTTGCTATTGCCTTCCATTATCTTAGCACTACATTACTTTTATTTGTGTTTGTAAAATAAAATAGTAGTAGCATAAAAACTAGTGGTTTTGGCCATCCAAAAAACATAGCGCTATGTTGTGTATTGTTTTTGTTTATTCAACACCGTCTGCTAATTTACGCTGTTATGTTACTAATACTTGGTTGAAACGCAGTTCTTTTCCCGCACGCATCCTTCTACATCCGCTTGCATCCTTCCTGTGTTCACCCTTCCTAGACTATCCGTGCTATCCTGATGGAGGTGTCCTATCCCTAGGTATCCAAAAACGGGACTGCTTTCACCCAGGTGCATCTGTTTTGTCTCGTGAAGATATCAACCTGGGGGATGCCAAACCAGTTTCCGGAGTGGACATGTTTAGGGGCATGTTGGAATATGTATGGCCGAAGGTGAGCGTAAATTATTGTTGTTACACTATCCTACTAATATTATAAATGCGAAAGTTTGGATGTCTGGATGTTTGTTGCTGTTTCACGCAAAAACTACTGAACGGATTTTGATGAAAATACAGTATTATTGTTTATAACCCAGATTAACATATAGGCTATAATTTATGACGATCTGTGATAAACTAAATTTCACGCGGGTGAAGCCGCGGGCAAAAGCTAGTTCTCAATAATTATGATTTATGGATTTTGGATACCTTTTCAGTATCACTGTAATTACTTGTCAAATAATTTTTTAACTGTGGAAACTTAATTGGTTTATGTGTTTTCTTACTGCACCTAAGTTAAATTATATTGTAACTGTATGTTTCCCAAAAATAAATAAATAAATAATTTTTTAAGTATTGTTGTAGTTTTGTCGAAGCGTATTGTCGATGATACTGAAAAAACATTTCTTCTTTCTTTCTTTATAATAGTCTAGTTTCTGTCTCAAATCAAACGAGAAATTTATTCAGTACTGAGGCTCTTTCCCACTTATGGCAGGACACTTGTATATGTATGACTCAAATATAGCTTGCCCTACCATCACTTGAGAACAATGTACCTATGGGTTAGCACTGAGAAGTGGTGGAAATAGTCTGTCCATGCGAGAAACATTTGAATAAAGTAAAGTATTTTTTTGTAACAGACATGTTATTTATGTGGGCCAAGCCAAGGGCAAAAGCTAGTATCTTATTTTGAACCGCATTATATTTCTATGGATCTAGATGTAGAACACTTAGTACACTTCATTCATAAAACTTTTTATACTTTTTCTTCTAGTGCAGTCATTGTAAAGTGGCAAATTATTCATTCATTTTTGATGTGCTCCTAATTAACTCAATACAATATCTCATTTCCAGGACAACGCAATGATCAGGAACCGGGTTATGCTGTCCCTTTCCTTGCTATTCGGAGCGAAGGTGATGAACGTATCGGTGCCGTTCTTATTCAAGTACGCGGTGGACGAAGTCAATATGGCCACCGCGACGCCAGCGGGGGATGCTTTATTTGGAATGGCCACCGTGCCTCAAGCGCTAGGCACTGCTGCCTTCAGTCTGCTGATTGGATGTGAGTGGTTATAGTAAATTGAACCTTTAAGTTAGCTTCTGTCGTTGATGTAGCAATATTTTATTCTGGGTGAAAGGTTTTGTCAATAAGATTTATACTTCATTTTGTATGCTGAAGATCTAAATGGGGCTCTTTTCTTTCCAATGGAAATGATGAGTGTTTTACAAAGTCGAGTTTCTCGACTTCTGTCTCTATTATTCTGCCACTCTCTTTAATCATCAGAACTTAATTCTTGAAACAATTATTGAACCCCAAATCCTTATTTTTATACCGGCGGGGACTGCAGTAACTTATCGCATCGACAATGTCAAAATGTTTCGTGGCTTGAAATCTTGTCTCATTGAAGTATTTATTATTCAGTTATCCTAATACTAGCGACCCGCCCGGTTTCGTACGGGTGCTAAGTATACATATAATAAACCTTCCTTTTGAATTACTCTCTATCTAATACCAGGCCTGTTCATCTCCGCGAGTTTACATCGAAAACAAAACACGCACGATGGCCCACCTACAGGATACTGTTCAACAAGGCCTCACATACGAGCGAACATTGACTCACGCACGCGTATTCTTGTGTATGATAGAAGAAAATAAAGAAAATGGTGTACTAAATACTGTGCAGTATTTAACTGTCTAAATAATAAAAACACAGAATGTACTTTTTTAAGTTGCCTCAAGACACTGAGATAAATAAGTAGTTAATATTATTCATGATAATTCATGTATTTCCTCCGCCATTTTCCGCAGTTTGGCACCTCACGTCACATCATTTTACCGAAGTCAGCCCTATAGCTTCGGCGCAATGCCGATCACTGACGTTTGTCAACAAAATGGTGCTTGACTCTTGAGACAGGCTAAATTACACCATATTGTTAATGACATTGAGCATAATTTTTTTTAAATACCTTCGCGAAGTAAAACTTCTGTACGTAGTACTTATTATTATTGTGCTAATACAAAAAACCGCATCAAAATCCGTTGCGTAGTTTCAAAGATCAAAGCATACATAGGGACTGCCGGACAGACAAAGGAAAGCGACTTTGTTTTATACTAGGGTGGGTGTACCAGTAACAAACCGAATAAGCGACATTTTAAAAGTAATTTTGATATTGTGACTCAATTATTACAACAATCATTGCAATAAAAGAATTAACTACTCCTTGTCTATCATAGAATCAAGTAGCTTATTCCAGTTTTCTTAATAGCTGTAAGGTTTATTTTTATTGAACAATCAATGTGGAAAGTTGCAATGTGCCTAAGGTTGACCAGATCGTACCAAGTCGTGTTTGTCGCTTTTATTTATGACTAATGATTGGTAGAAGTACGGCAGTGCTACCAAACGTATCAAAAGTGGCGGGAAATTCGACAGATTGTTAATATTTTAATGTGAAATTAGAAATGGTGTACTACTGGTTCCTGGTGTGGGACTGGTGCACCCACCCTACATAAAATATGTAGTGATGGTATCAATTTCATAGCCTAGTACATCCGTTAAGTTAAAGCCGTGGTGAACAGTGAGACAGTTTGTAACAATCAATGATCATTAACCCAATAATTTCCAGACGGCATAGCCCGAGCCACAGCGGCTGGTTTCAACGAGCTACGTAACGCGGTGTTCGCTAAGGTAGCGCAGCACTCCATCCGGCGGCTGGCCTGCAACGTGTTCACGCATCTACATAACCTCGACCTAAGCTTCCATCTGGGGAGGCAGACTGGGGCGCTGTCCAAGGTACTGATACCAGGCAGAGTACTGAGCAAAAAGTTAATATTCCTTCGGAATAGACACTGGATGTCATTTGTGTGTCAGTCAATGAGGGCTATCGTTTTAGCGCTCACCAGTTGGCGCCACTGTAGAGTAAGGTCCTGTCACTTGCTAGTAGCGAATTAAATGTTTATTAAATTCTATGGACCCACCGCTTTTGAAACTACTATCAAAATTCATTCAATCCCGCAAAATTCGTTTGTAGGTAACCGAATTTTTTTCTTTCCTCTCCCAATCCTTAGTCCCACCTACCCCCTTCCTTACATTTTAATTTCTATGTTATGTATCTATTTGTGGTGTCTCAATTTGTGTTGTCTTTTTTGTTATAGGTACACAAATAATAATTTTGCTTATTATTAGAAACGTTAAATATTTTTGTTTTTTGTAAACCCTGTTACTTTGTCAAAACTGTTTACGTGACATTGGCGAAATCATGGTTCTCAAAACCAAGCCGTTGCCATAAAAAAAGAAGAAGAAGAAGACAGTGGCACCAACTGGTGAGCGCGAAAGTGGTAGGAGGACTATCGCATTTGCACTCATCAAGATGGCGCCACTGTAGAGTAAGGTCCTGTCAATCGCCAGGGGTGCCAACTGTTAAGTATAAAAACGATAGCCCTCATTGTGTTCACTCTTTTTTACCAATAAATCAATTACTGAACCAGCCTGTTTGCTGAAACACTATTTCTCATAAACATCCAACATTTCACTAACCTGGACCTCAGCTTCCATCTGGGAAGGCAGACTGGCGCGCTGTTCAAGGTGATTAAAAGACAGGACGCGCGACCAATGCCATCGTCGACGCGATTTGCAAGCGTTGGTTTGGCTGAAGCTTAATAGACTTTGTTATGAAACTAATCGTGTGGTTCCGACAGAGCAGAACAGGAACATTGGAAACTGAATACAGGAAAATCACTTAGACAGCCAGTCAAGAAGATTTAAGACAGGTGCTAAAAAGCGAAACTTTCCAGAAAACCTACTTATAAGTTCGTGTGCACAGACAGCTATTTCCGATATCGAGTTTGAATCCCACTGGAGATAAGATGTGACAAACAAAATATCACTTCATTCTAGCCACAAAACCTATTCAATATTAATTTATTGAAAATTACGACTACTAAGTCGCTTCGAATTCAATATTAATCCAAGTGCATGAATTTCCATTTTGCTTTACACAGAGTGTAGGCGTTTTACAACTTATAAAGACTGTAGGTGGTATCACTGCCCTACAGATTTGTTCTGTTCTGTTTTTGTATGTTCTATCCAACATAAAAGTGACGTTATTTTTTCTTATTGCTAAATACTATTTTCAGGCGTTCTATCTGACGTATGTGTGTATATAATTTCAGACGATAGACCGAGGGTCGCGCGCCATCAACTTCGTGTTATCAGCGATGATATTCAACGTGGTGCCGACTATTTTCGAACTGGCGCTCGTCTCGGCCATACTCGGCTTCAAAGGAGGCATGGCTTTCGCAGGTAACGTCGGCACAAATTACAATTCAAATAGTTTATTCAGTACATAGGCCCTTTGTTGCAGACAGTGGTGACTGAGTTTGTTGCGGCGCTTCTTCTCAGCACTTGCCAAATGTTGGTCTCGAAGCGCTGGTAGGGCAAAAATATTATGAGATATTTAGAGGCTCCTTAAGAGCAAAATATTTGACGATTTGTAAGAACTACACTGGTCATCACAAAAATCGGCCCACCTACGTTTTACAGGAAAACTCGTTTCTACTGACACAATCATGGTGCCCCAACAATATTGGTGTTATTTGAAAGCCCAATAAATATCCTTAAAGAAAAACACATTTAATTTCCTAATAAACGATTAACATGTACAATAAATGTGACTTGAAAAACTTGAAAAAAGACCTCACTTTGGGCTCACCTCTGGGATCAATTAGACCAAATTTTATGGTTATAAAACCAAATAATGATCACACGTGTACTCTTTAACAGATGGATAGCGATTAATCCCAACTTAGCAGTTTTATAGCCATAAAAGTTGGCTCAAGCGTAACTACCTATTTTTTGAAGAAGTGACTCTGGATCCTTCTAAAGACACATTTTGGGGGTAAAAACCTTTTCTTTAATGAAATGAAGTTTAGTACTAGGCTTTTAAATGGTACCAATATTGGTGGGAAGTGGGGATGCATACGTTTGAAAGTGCTTGTCGCGGGAGGTACGATTTATTTGATGCCGAGTGTAGTTTATTCAGTACATAGGCCCTTTGTAGGGCACTTATACACACACGTCCCAAATATAGCTTGCTACCATTTACCACAAGGTTTATACCATAGATTTCTAGAGAGATGCCAACTAATGCGCCGAATTCTCAGTGTCGCATTAGAAATTCACACACACAAAGTATTTCAAACAAAAACATAACATTTATTAACATAAAATTACACGACTTTCCCTGCCATATAACTCTGTCTTAGGAAAGTGAATGAAAAAATTCACATTTATTTATTATTATTATACACGTTCATACATAAAAAATAAAACATCAGTATTAAAACGACGCCATTTGCACGCGGCTTGGTGACTTTCGGCGGCCTTATTTAAATGCAATTTGAAAAGCCGCGGAATTATTGTATGCTTCACACAAAAAACTACTTGGTAGAAATTGTGTTCAAGTCTAAAACAATACAGCGAGGACTATAATTGAAAAAATAATTATGTGTATTTATCTATAACGGGCAATAAGTACGGGAACAGATTTTGAGCCATTTGCCTGCCCCACACAAAGTCTGTGTGGCTGAAATTCTTGTACGGCATCACTTGGTAGTACACGACATTCGGCAGAGACTGGTTCAAGCGCTCCGCGTCTTTCACGGTCCCCAAATAGTCTTCCTCGCCGACGAAGAGAGCAGTCTTCATAGTAACCTTGCTCAGATCGAAGTCCGGAGGCTCGCTCGTCCCGTACAACTGCAGATTCTTATCTTCTCCGTAGTCGAAGTTCGCAAACTTATCCCTCTTGTACACCTGCCCCAAATGCTGGAAAATTTTCCGCGTCGAACCGCCGGGGTAATGCCCGAAAAACGTCGGTGTGTACGCCATCTCGAAACCGTTCGAATCCACGCCCAGGGCTCCGAACAACACTATTTTGACGCAAACCTCGTATCCGAAAGGCTGCGCGTCGCATATCAACCTCAACAGCGTTCCGGTTTTCTCGTAACTGAACACCTCCTCTATACCGAGGTCCGCGAAAAGACTCGTGATCTCCAGGAGATACGGAAGGATGATGCCCGCGTATCCTCTCACGTTTTTCAGGAACGCTATCGGCGCGAGAGATATGCCGACGTTGATTTTGTCGTTGTACTCCGGCTTTTCCGAGCCGAGGACGTATAAGAGCGTCGTGCCCACCGAGTGGGATACGACGGTCAGTTTTTTTTGGGCGGTTTCGGTTAAAACCCTGTCGATGGTAGCCGATAGGTCGTAAACGGCCTCCTCATAGAAGCTGTAGTTGAAGAATTGCTTCGGTTGCGTGTCGGGGTTTAGCGTGACATGGCTGCGAGAGTAGCGCGTGCCTCGTATGTTGATAGCCCACACGTCGTAGCCGAGTCCGGCCAGGGTGATGGCCAAGGAGCCTTTACCCCTGTCTATGAAACAGTCCGACGTCGGCGTGTTACCATGGACTAAGAGAACAGGCCGGCTGGTGTTCCCTGGATGCCTGAAGAGTGTGAGGATATATCCATCCTCGGTGGTGACCTTATAAGTGGTGGCCGGATGACCGTACTTTGCAGCGAGTCCGGTATACGTCAATGCCGCATCTTCAAGGCCGGACAGGACGCTCAGTTGCGAATGTACGAAAATGTCGCCCGCTATTACGGCGAAAAGTAGCAGTCTCAAATACATGGTCGTTGTCTATTGTTACGACTATAGAAAGCATCTGCCGAAACACATGGCCCTTTTATACTATGTGCGTACTTGCAAAGTTATTATAACAATTGTTTAATTTAGTTTTGAAACTAGCGACCCGCCCCGACTTCGCACGAGTCAATTAATTTTGAGAATTTATAGATTTATAGAGTACATTTAATGTAACAAAAGCCACTTCTAATAAATTATTCCTGAAAACTTCCGGAAGTTTTTAAAAAAGTTTTTTACTTATTTTTTTTATGCATAACAAGGCATTTGACCTCAATTGCACCTGATGTTAAGTGGGATGCAGTCTAGGATGATACATAATCTGCCCTGTAAGTGCCGATTCACTCTCGGCTTGAAAAGGCCCAGATCATATCTTTTATCTTTGGGAAAGACAGCAGCAGGCCAGCGAATTCCAGTCCCTAGCTGTTCGCATTATAAAAGAGTCATTGAAACGCTTAGTGCGAGTTGGTGGCGCTAACTGGTGACCGCAAATACACTGGCTCTTTATGTTCAGCGCTATAAAAATGAAAGTGTCACAGACAGATTGTGTTCATTTTGGTTTTAGTATTACATTTGGTTTCGAAATATGTATGTATATGTTCAGATGTTTTTCAAATTGTTTAATTATTAACTTACTTACTGTCTCGAATATTGATGAGCGACAAAATTTATGAAAAACCAATCGGAATCGCGTCTGAGGGGTCTTAAACTATCGCATTCCGCTCAAAGTGAGCTAAATTTTGCTAATTTGCTGTTCATTGTTCAGTCATTATTTGATTGAAAGTATACAGGGTGACATTGCAAACAGTTGCTAAATTTTTAAGAGCAATTCAGAATTAGTAATTTAATCGATTTACATGCCTAGGCGCAGACCACCAACTTTTAGTTGGCCGATAGTTAGGCCCGATTCTAATTTGTATGAAGAATCGGCCGATATCAAATCGGTGTAATGTGCGTACTTTCATACATGTCCATACTGATTAACAGCCCGACTCAACTATCGGCCAACTAAAAGTCGGTGGTCTGCGCCTAGCTTAAGATTTTTTTTTCATATTTAATTATTTTTATCCTGATAAGGCATAAAAATATATCATATACTCAATTTTTTCGCTCTATTACACATAATCCTGTATCCTAAAACATGTAGGTAGATGCAAAATGCAATAGGGATGTTTCCTGGGTCAAAAAGCAAGAGTTTTAATTAGTCCGTCAGTTAACTTATCAAAAAATACTCTACACGTATTTTTCACTTTTTCAAACTAATGAAAATTTAAAGAGATAAAGCGCGCCAAAGTTCATAAGAAGAGGCCCGTGACGTCAATGCGTGCATAAAAGTGCCGCACGTTGTGACGTCGTGCGGAACTTCAACGCACCATAACTATGTAATTATTTGTTTGATTGACAAATAAAAATATACGTGTCCAATATTTTTTGATATTAAACATGACGGAAATATAAAATTTTTTTTAGGAAACTAGCCTATTCCAAAAAATATGGATTATAAATCACAAAATGTACTCTATCGGATTTTCCTTATTTATCCTTGAGCACCGGAACCCTAATTTTATTACCTTCATACTTTAAATAAGTTAAAATTTTAAAAATTAGATATTACGCATATTACGCATGTTGAAACAGATGTTTATACATCTTCATCGCATAGTTTAATTGTTTGTATTCTAATTATGCTTTCTACACATCACTTTATCTAATAGTTTTGATAGCTGTTGTCACGTAGCGAGTACCTACTTGAATTGTTTTTTTCCCGATGGCAATTTTTTTTCCCGATGTTCAGACTCAGACCAGCTCGTAATGTAGTAAAGTACTGTCATATAACAAGTACAGTCATATTTTATATTTTTTAAATAGGTTTTATTGAAACTCTTCGCAAGATATTTCATGGTTGTTTATAACAAAAATTTCCTGTTTGTCATGATGTGACAATCACATATTTCAATGTACATTTTACTAATGTGCATTTTTTTGCGACGGAACATTTAAGAGCGTGGCCTTTACATAATTTTCACAGTACATGTAGGGTGGCCGACGTGTGTCGAAAAAAAAATTGAAACGTTTTTTCTTTAAGAGGTTACCATAACATTTGTATGTTACCTCGGCATTTTGCAATTTTGCAATGAAATATAAAGCCTCGATGTTGAACACAGACATACTGTGAATTTCACGACACTATTTTTATTATACTAGTGGCAAAGATTACAGGAAATGAAGACATTCGGAAATTTGTCTATAGGGAAAAAAGACGATCAGAATATTTTATACAAGAAAATAAAAATATCGGAAAAACGTTGCAAAAAACGGGAACATTATAAAGTTTCGCCACCCCTTGTAGGCCTCATCCTAGGACTACAGGGGTAACGCGCGCCGCGATAAGCGTTTATCACGCCGTTTTATCGATTTTACGCGATAGGCCCATACATTTGTCGTCTAAAATCATCGATAAGATTTTATCACGGCGCTCATCTAGCTTAAATATAACCCATTCTCTTGTGCAGGTCTGGCCGTGAGTTGTGTAGGCGTGTACGCGGTGTTCACGTTAGCCATCACGCAATGGCGGACCAAGTTCCGCGTGTACATGAACCGCGCCGAAAACGAGGCGGGAAATAAGGCCATCGACTCGCTCATCAACTACGAGACTGTCAAGGTTTGTGACTTGAAGTATGTAGATCGTTTCATCCACGAAGACGCGCGTCACCATTCTTTCGCGAATATTTGAGTGAGAGACCGTTGTTTAGTACCCATAGTACAAGCTTTGCTTCGTTTGGGGCTAGCGGCGTAGTGTAAAATGTCCGAGGATATTTATTTATTTATTACTAGCTTTCCGCCCGCGGATTTGCGCGCATTGTCTATATTATCTACATATTTTACGGAACCCTATTTTTTCCAAAATAAAATTTAGCCTATGTTACACGTGGATAATGTAGCTTTCGAATGGTAAAATAATTTTTAAAAACGGTCCAGTAGTTTTTGAGCCTATTCATTACAATCAAACAAACAAAGTTTTCCTCTTTATAATATTAGTGTAGATAGTGTAGATTTATCGGTACACGCTAAACTATCCATGAGTGCACACGCACACTACAATAATGCCTTACGGATTGCTCGGATCAAACTCTTCGCACCCCGCGCTTCCCTCGACTAAAAATTGGTGGGGCGCGTCTTCGTGGATGAAACGATCTATACGTTGTGTAGGTAAAAGTACTGATTCATTAATACTACTATAGCTTTAGCACTTAACTAAGTGCCTGAGGTATGGCAGCGGCACGAGAGTGACATTGACATAATTATGACGTGACAGCATATGAATCTGAAGTCTCACTGACATTTGACGTTACAAAAACATCCCCCTGTGCCACTCCCATACCTCAGACACTAACTGAAGAAAGAAAACGTATTAAAATGTCAAAATAAATTCATAGTTAAAAAAAAACACATAATTTACCCAGGCATTCTCAGGACAAACGAAATTTGGATTTTCCCAATAATGTGTTGATATAAAATCGATAAAACATCCGCTACCAGATTCATCCACAATGCTAATTATCTTGCCAGCCGGAATGATGAAGGCTTAGGTTGTTGAATATCGGCTACCCGTTTTTGTATTTAAAGCGCGTTTTATAATATGAAACGATCATTGGTGCCACTAGGGAATTCGAATGAGCAATGTACCAAACATGTTTGGAGCACTGTATCACGTACTACGCTTACGCCCGTATTCACAAACATTACTATGAGGTCTCACAGTGTGCGTAGATGCACATGGTGACACATAAACCAATCACAGTGGGTACGAACTACGGTTCGTTTTGTGAGTTAACGTCAAACGCATTCGAACGCAAATTGTTCAGCGCCCCTAGCGGAAACTTTCAAGAACGATTTTTTTAACGCAGTCGATATGTAATGCGTTTGATGTAAATTCACACTATGCACCCTGAGCTCTATTCAACGTTGTGCGTTCGATTTGCTGCTTCACGTAAGCAAGTATCGTTTGTGAATACTGTATTTTTTTTATGCTGAATAAAGTATTCTTATTCTTAATACGAGCGTTAGTGTATATGTTACGGTCAAAGTGATAAATGTGAAAATTATGAATAATCGCCGGTTATTATGAATAATTACCGCATGATTTGGTAAATGTGATTAATATGAGGTCATTTATGTGTGTATAAAACTAAATAGGCGGCTTAGGGGTGGCCCAAGGGCCACCCCCGCCGCACCCTAACCTATTTTTCACTTTAAAACAAAACATTATGTTATAGGCATCATGGAAAAGTAATATTATGCAAGAAACATTCCAAACTCATTATGCCAAATTATAGTAATATATGATATCAAAACGTTCAAAAGTTTGGCTGTACACGAGCACGTACACAAGATGTTGTTCTCTTTTATGAAATTTGTTAGTACTAAGGTTGAATTATCAAATAATCACTGTTAAATGTGATTAATTTATCACTTTTACCACGACTGTCGGTAATTATTCATAATAACCGGTTATTATTAATAATTTTCAATTTATCACATTAACCGTAACATATGTTACGGTCAAAGTGATAAATGTGAAAATTATGAATAATCGCCGGTTATTATGAATAATTACCGCATGATTTGGTAAATGTGATTAATATGAGGTCATTTATGTGTGTATAAAACTAAATAGGCGGCTTAGGGGTGGCCCAAGGGCCACCCCCGCCGCACCCTAACCTATTTTTCACTTTAAAACAAAACATTATGTTATAGGCATCATGGAAAAGTAATATTATGCAAGAAACATTCCAAACTCATTATGCCAAATTATAGTAATATATGATATCAAAACGTTCAAAAGTTTGGCTGTACACGAGCACGTACACAAGATGTTGTTCTCTTTTATGAAATTTGTTAGTACTAAGGTTGAATTATCAAATAATCACTGTTAAATGTGATTAATTTATCACTTTTACCACGACTGTCGGTAATTATTCATAATAACCGGTTATTATTAATAATTTTCAATTTATCACATTAACCGTAACATATACTTGAGGAATCAATATGACTAAACTTTCCAGTACTTCAACAACGAGCAATACGAGCTCCAGAAGTACGACGACAGCCTCCGCAAGTACGAGCAGGCGTCGCTGAAGACTGCCTCCAGCCTCGCGCTGCTGAACTTCGGTCAACATGCTATCTTCAGCGCGGGCCTCAGCGCAATCATGCTGCTAGCCGCCAACGAGATCGCCGCAGGTAAAGCCTGGTCCGTGAGCACGTAGAATTTTGTCCAATGACCCCAAGCTACCCATCCTTATCGCTCGCGCGTAATTATATTGCTGTCGCGACTGTGCGACGCGCGCCCGCAGTGAGTGTGCGAGCGCGACAGCAACATAATTACGCGCGAGCGATAAGGATGGGTAGCTTGGGGTCATTGGACAAAATTCTACGTGCTCACGGACCAGGCTTTAGAGACTGATCCCACCTCTAGTGTGAAACACCACTGTAGATGGCTCCAGCCTGACGCTGCTCAACTTCGGCCAGCACGCTCGAAATTCACACACAAAATAATCACAATATGTGCTTATAATCCACTGCGATATCAGTACTCAACGTTCGAATAATCTTTAGTATTACGCAAGCAAGCAAAAATAATGACGTCGCTGCTGTCATCATTGCTGTCACGAGCCATTTGTGTTCTGTTTTTGGGCATATTGCTGCGACGCCTGCGACACCGGCCCTTGTCACATCTCCCTTTAGTTTCTATGATCTGGGAAACCATTGCAACTCCTATAGGTATACGGGACTGTTCCCATCTAGAGATGGGAGTAGGTCCCATCTAGAGATGGGGTAGTTTCCCAGTACCCTAGAGGGTACTGGGAAACTACTGCAACTTCTACTGGTATATGGGACTGTTCCCACCTCTAGTGTGGTGAGACACCACTGCAACTCCTACAGGTTCGTTAATTTCAGCCAAGTTTCAGCCAAGTTACGTTACCTGCTGAACAAAGGCCTCCCACAAGGATTTGCATAACGACCGGTCCAGCGCTGCCCGCATTCAGATTTTTCCAGCGACCTTCACCGGATTGACTTCCGGCCCGTGGTCATCATCATCATCATCATCTCAGCCATAGGACGTCCACTGCTGAACATAGGCCTCCCCCAATGATTTCCACAATGGCCGGTTGGTGGCGGCCTGCATCCAGCGCCTTCCCACTTCCATTATGAGGTCGTCGGTCCACATTGTGGGGAAACGTCCTATGCCGCGCTTTCCGATATGTGACCTCCACTCCAGAACCTTGCTGCCCCATCGGCATCAGGATTTCCATAACGACCGGCCCTTCGCTTCCCGCATCCAGCTTCTACCCGCGACCTTCATCAGGTCGTCGGTCCACCTAGTGGTGGGACTGTTCACGCTACGTCTTTCGACCAGTGGTTGCCACTCGAGAACTTTTCTGCCCCAACAGCCATCATCGTAATAGGTATACGGACTATTACCACCTCTAGTGTGGTGGGAAACCACTACAACTCCTGTGTAACTAGGATCTACAGTTTGACCGCCAATAAAAACCCATCCAGTGAAGGTCAAGTTTGAAAGGCCAGGTGAAACTTTTCCAAAATTAATCAAGAGGAGTTTGAAGTTAAGGTTCGACTTCCCTCCAGTGCAAAGCGGATGACAGGTGACAAAACAAAGGTTATAGTAACCCTTAAGAAATATATGCACCACGGATAATCCCTCCGCCAACACAATCTACTTTTAGCTTAGGTATACTGTAATTGTATCCGACTCTCATTTACTATGTAACTAAGGAAAAGCTGTAATTGGCATTATTTGCGCATACATGTAATTATTTTATAAGAACATGCTGTAGATTTTCCTTTAAAAAATAAATGAGCCCATGGTTCTACCTGCCTCACGGCGTACGTCTTCTCATTGAAATTCTCCCTCTTATGGGGCTTGACACCGAAAAACGGAACTTCGCGTCGGGCTACTATCCCAACTAATATTATAAATTCGAAAGTAACTCTGTCTGTCTGTCTGTCTGTCTGTCTGTCTGTCTGTCTGTCTGTTACGCTTTCCCGCTTAAACCTCGCAACCGATTTTGATGAAATTTGGCATAGAGATAGTTTGAGTCCCGGGAAAGAATATAGGATAGTTTTTATCCCGGTTTTTGAAACAGGGACGCGGGCGATAAAGTTTTTCTGTGACAGACAAAATTCCACGCGGGCGAAGCCGCGGGCGGAAAGCTAGTCGTTGATAAGTGCGTCAATTCTTCTCGAAACTCCGCCTCATTGTGTGCCAGGAGTGTACAAACTCGCTCAGTGCGACCCAGTTATTGCGACGACTCGTAAAGCCCTGGTGTAAACAGGTCCTCGCTCGGCTCTCTGTATTGCATCCAGTATGTTCTGTCGAGCTTCATCATAGAGGTTACATTACCAAAGTGCGTGATCGCGGCCTCGTCGACTTTCTCGCCGCTTACGCACAGTGTCGACTCGCACGGCGTCAGTCTATGTAGGCGCTGTATGAAGCAACCGTGTACAGTTAACAATTGGGAAACAACGAAATCTGGTCCCACCCAACCGAGTGAAAGCCTCACCGCCACGATGGGAAAGAACTGGTTCAGTAACTATTTGACACCACCAATCAATTGACGCACTTTTTAAAACTGTCAAAACGTAGATCAAAGATTTTGTATGGAAATACAAGCAAGTGTCGTCAATGTTTTGCATCCCAACGGTCCTGCCAAACGGCAACAGCATCCTCTCTAACGGTGGTCAATTTCCGGCGCTCCCTGGGGCCAGTTGGTGTCCCTCCTCCACAATTCGTCCCGCACAATAAGCGCCGGTGTCTGAGTACCCTCCAACCACCTTTCTCATCAAAAGTCGACGAGCATCGGCACCATACGGCCGCAGCGTATGTCAGTTTGGCCACATGAGTGCCTGCGTACAAAACACTCAGGGCCGGGTATCTGACGCCCCATATAGCTTGCCAAAAGCATTGGCAGCATTCAAATCTCGCATACGGCACATAGGACCTAGCCTCGTCGAGGGTCACACTTAGCTGAGTAACGTTCGCAATGCGATCGCAATCGTTACGTCGTCTGCGCACGCTATTCAGTGTACCCACTCAGGACACGGCAGCAGCGGGAGGTCGTTGAGGAGTAGGTTCCATATATCGGGCCCATTACTGATCCCTGAGGACATCCCTTTGTGCTGCTTCCACGACGTCTGAGCCCCCATATAGAGACCCAGACGCCGGTTTGTGGAATAACTCAAATCTATTGTATACTGGCCTTCAATAAAATCATTGGCCACCACGCATTGTCAAAGGCACCAGAGATGTCCGGGAAGATCAGCTGCACATGACGCTGTACTGTTCTCAGTAATAGAATTAATGAATCTGAGTGCCGTGATCGAAGATCGGCCAAGGATAAAATGGTGCTAAGCGTCAGAGATATTTCGGTGCAGGCAGGGAGCGCAAGAAAAGAATTTATAGGCTTGTAACCTTATTCGAACCTAATTAATTATTTATCTTTCTTTTCTTTCTTTATTTTCTTTGTTGTTTTATTTCTTTCTTTGTTTTCTTTCTTTGCTTTCTTTCATTTCTTTATTTTCTTTCTTATACGCTTTCGAGTCAGAGAGAGGTTTACCGTTGCCCTTCGTAACGACCAATAGTCTGCCTACCCCATCCCTTCCCTTCGATTTCTTTCCCATTGTGGCAATGAGGCTGTCACTCGGCTGAGTGGAAACGGACTACGTTGTTTTCCAATCGTTAACTGGACGCGGTTGCTTCAGACAGTGCCAACATAGGCTGACGCTGTGCGAGTAGGCACTGTGCGTATACGGCGAGGAATTCGAAGAGGCCGCGATCACGCACTTTGGGAATGTAACCTCTATGATGAAGCTTGACAGAAAATGCTGGATGCAATACAGAGAGCGGAGCGAGGACCTGTTTACACCAGGACCTCACGAGTAGTTGCAGTGACTGGATCGCACTGCGCGGGTTAGCGCGCTCCTGGCACACAATAAGGCGAAGTTACGAAAAGAATTGACGCACTTATCAGTGATAGCAGCCTGACTTGAAGTACCGTTTTGTGATCTCTAGAGGGGAATTACTAAAATTGAAAAGGGACGGAATAGATAAATTTAGAAGGAGCGCAGTATAACGCAAAGGGAAAAGAGGTAGAACCATCGGTTGGCGGAGTTATTGTTTCGATTTTTAACTTTATTCATAGTAAATGGAGATCGCGATCACGATCGTTGGGTCAGAAAGACTTTGTAGTGGAGACCCCGCAATAACACCCGCGGCAGAGGAATACCGTTTTAAATATGGACAGATGACATTCGGCAACAAGCTGGAATAAACTGGATGCAAGTAGAAGGTTGAGGAGGCCTATGCTCGAAGAAGAACCCCAAAGGCTTACGGTGTTACATTGCATCCTTGCCATTTTCACAGAGATAAAATTAGGGAACAATACCTTTATTTTAGATAAACAAGGGACTCCCTTAAGAAAAGGACATTAAGTTTTTAGTTAATTTGGTTTTGCAGTACAAACTGGAACTAACCAGTTTGAAGTTTCGCACGTTGAACAGGAGCAGTTGGAATAAACCTATTGATTGGCGTCAGCTTTTTACAAGTGTCAAAAAGAATTTCAAACACAATAGATTGCAATAGTTATTTAATAAAAGGTAAACAGTCTCCGTCGCCAATAAAATATTCAAGATTAAAAAACAAAATTTTCGGGCATTATTTTTTACTGATTTGTGTTTTTCAGTGACCTCTGTAAATATGGCAAGAATGCAAAGTAACACCGTGTAGATTGTGCAACAATGCGGTTTATTGTAGCAGCACCTTTACGTTGCAGGCAACATGTCTGTAGGCGACTTGGTGATGGTGAACGGGCTGCTATTCCAGCTGTCGATCCCGCTGGGCTTCCTGGGCTCGGTGTACCGCGAGGTGCGCCAGGCGCTCATCGACATGCAGACCATGTTCACCCTTATGACCGTGCAGTCAAGGATCAAGGTAGCGTACCACTTGTTTTATCTTAAAGCCTGGTCCGTGAGCACGTAGAATTTTGTCCAATGACCCCAAGCTACCCATCCTTATCGCTCGCGACTGTGCGACGGGCGCCCGCAGTGAGTGTGCGAGCGCGACAGCAACATAATTACGCGCGAGCGATAAGGATGGGTAGCTTGGGGTCATTGAACAAAATTCTACGTGCTCACGGACCAAATTATATAGTACTGATCACTGACATAATGTAAACGAAACAGTGCTCGATTCTGAGACAAGCTAAATTACACCATATTGTTGACGACATTGAGTAGGCATTTTTAAAATACCTTCGCGAATAAAACTTTCTATACGTACTACATAATATTTGAAAGTTATTTGTTGACTACCTGAGCCACTCCACTATTGGGGTAAAACATGTGTCCTGAACTGGGACGGATATAGTCCTATTTTATTAACCGACTTCATTTTATATACCTTTTTATCCTAGTAAGAAAATACATAGTTCTATTCTTTTTATGTTTTTGGCACGTATTTTACCTAATTTGTCTTTCTTCCAGGAAATAGACAAAGCTCCACCCCTAATAGTGGACACAAAGACATCGACCATAGAGTTCAAAGATGTCAGCTTCAAATACATCAACGGGAAGCCGATATTCAACAACCTTAGCCTCACCATCCCTGCTGGCAAGAAGATTGGCATCGTGGGCGGTTCTGGTAGCGGGTATGTATTAATTTCTAATATTTATGTGTCGGAATCATAAAGTTAATTTACATAACGGAATAGAGCAACAAAGGACTGAGCGAGATGTCACTAGCATCAACACTGTGATAAAAAGAGATGCGTGATTCGCGTAACAGAACCATTTTTCGAAACTATTTGACAATAGGGTATTTTACTCCATGTAAGAAAATATATAAAAATGCATGTCTTTAATAGATTTCATAAAAACTAATCGGGAAACGTTGATATTTTTACATAAAAGTGCAAATATAATTTTTAAATTCACTTTTAAAAACGCATCTTTTTAGTCTGTTCTTCAAATGTCTAAAACGCCATGCAAAATTTTACGGGAGTAAATAGTGCTTCAGAAACGTAGTGACTGGTTCAGTGATTGATTTTGTTGTACAAAACAGCGAAATAGTCCTGAAAACTGACACATCCAAAAACATCCTAAAATCGGTTTCGTTGACAGCTCGTGGTTGTCGCTCTATTTCGAAGGAATATTAACTTTAAGGTTGGAATTAAATTATGACATTCCTATAAATGTTGTACATGAACGATCTGACAGTAAATAGATTTTGGTTATGTCGTTAAACTATTAGAATATGAACTAAACGATTTATTAGATGTATTTTCCGATACGAGTATTTTTCTCTGTAGAAAAATTTATGAACGCCTTCTTTTCACATTGAAATATTTGGCTGTATATTTTCTTGTATAAAAAATTCTGAATGCCTTCATTCCCTGTAGACATATTTACCGATAATATGTATTTGTTTTTGTATAAAAATATTATTGTCAATAAAAGAAGCGTATTTGAATTACTTGCTACTATTCTTATTAAATAAATATGTTTAAATTTCAGAAAATCAACAATGGTGCGGCTTTTGTTCCGGTTCTTCGAACCTCAGTCGGGGCAGATCACGATCGCCGGACAGAACATAAAGGATATTGACCTGGCCAGTTTACGGAAAGCCATCGCTATCGTTCCACAGGTAATCATCATCATCATTATCATCATTTCAGCCTTAGGACGTCCACTGCTGAACATAGTAGACTACGAGCTAGTGAACGCCAGACCTACGTCATTTTATTAAAGCTGAAAGTTTGTCAGCGTATGCTCCCAATATAGGATATAATGTTGGTGAATTATGAAGCCAGACAGTTTTGACAGTTCCAACTCCTTGCCAGACAATTTTTTTATGGTAGCTCCCAAAGCCACGATGACCCAAATTCATAATTTCTTCTCATCCTATATTGGGAGCAAACGCTGACAAACTTTCAGCTTTTATAAAATGACGTAGGTCTGGCTTATAGGCCTCCCCCAATGCTTTCCATTTCGATCGATTAGTAGCGGCCTGCGTCCAGCGCTTTTCTGCTACCTTAATGATTCGGTCCACCTTGTAAAAAATGCTTATTGTTAAATGCCCAAGGATATTTATTACATCGTCTAAAAGAAGTGGAGTGGAGATTATGTTGTTGAGACGATTTACATGTATCCCTGTAGATTTCACACCTTGACGGATTTTTGTTTATCGCTACGGAATATTAGTGAAAATTGCAAATCTGTTTGTATGTCTGCTTTTTAACAATAAGGCATTTTCACTACATATTATAAAACAGTCGCTTCGCTGGGTTTAGGCGCATAATGTCAAAAGCACAAAATGTTATGATATTTTTACCCTGTTTTAATTTTGTTGATTAGTTTACCCGCTAAGTCATTAAAGTAAAGAAGAAATAAAAGTTAGGTTAGGTTTAAGATTTTTATGGAAATGACATTTTGCGTCTGCCTCTATGTATGCTTATATCTTTAAAACTACACAACGGATTTTGATGCGGTTTTTTTTAAATAGTGATTTAAGAGGAAGGTTTTTAATAATACATTGTACCTGTGCGAAGCAGGGCGGGTCGCTAGTCTATTATAAATTTAAAAAGTGCGAGAACAATCTGAACAAGTTTGAATATCTTTTACACTCATTGATTTTGAAAAGCTTTAAAAATTTGGGCAGTCTATACAAATGAAAAAAAAATTGTCATCCAACTTTCACACAATATACTCAAGTTACTCGCAAAGTCCGCTAGATGGCGTAAGCCACGATTATATCACCGAAATACAGAGAAATTACTGCCATAACATCGTCTTTAAAGTACTGAAACACAGGTAAATTATTGCCTCTTCAGATCTTCTGACAAGCTTCCCCCGAATCTTTAGTCAACCTCACATATTGTGTTCTGATTCCAGGATTGCGTGTTATTCCACGACACGATATTCCACAACCTACACTACGGCGACTTGTCGCAGCCGGCCGAAGAAGTCTACCGAGCTAGCAAGATGGCCGAGCTCCATGACTCCGTCAAGACTTGGCCTAAGGTAAACTATCACGTAGTTTTATATTTTTGAACAGCATCCCAAATATAAATAAATAGACATCGTTTTGTGAACTAACTATTAGCCGTTCAGCTCGTGCTCTTCAACTCATCTCTGTATCGTCATATTCCATGATGATAATTTCAATAGTTTCCTGTTTCTTCAGTAGTAGTTTTATTTCTTCTTCTACTTATTCTGCCTCGCCTTACCCCGTTGCCCGGGGTCGGCTTTAATCATGCGCCGCCATTTGATTCTATCTTGAACGTCTTGTCCGTAAAGTCCCAATACTCATGTTGTACGCAATAGCCAAAAATTGTATTTTCTTTCTCAATATCTACTAATCCAAACATCAAGCTGTCTACTATGACCGCTCGAGCAGTGCTAAATTTATGCTTGTGAAAGGAGTGATTTAATTACATAGTACAGCGGTCAGCTAGGATCAAATTCAACTCGGTGTTCTTCGAATCTTGAATCGGCAGTCTGTCACTTTCATCGTAGTGCTATCATCGCTTTTTAGATCACCATAAGCTACTAACCAGTCATCTGTCCATATCAAGCAGGCATCTGGACACAGAAGCTTTACTTCCGCGCTGAGCCTCCTTATAAATAGCCTTAAACACACTACATAACATCACAGCACTTTACTCACACATAACACGCACATTACACACAACACACAACACACAATACACAACACACACACACACACACACACACACACTACCTCATTTACTTTTTGTTCAGTTTTGTTTAGTCTAAGTAAAAATATTATAATTATCTTAAGAGTTTAATAACTGTTAATTGCTCTCACAATTGTGTCCTCACTATACTTTTCAACATTGTTAACCTGTGTTACTTAAGGCTGCCGCGACACAAGCACAGCTTAGTGCAGCAGCCGCTAGATAAACAGACTGTAAATTTTTTGCTGGCAAATAAAATACTTTTACTTTACTTTATTAACGTATACCATGTCCGCAGGGCTACGACACACAAGTGGGTGAACGCGGACTGAAACTATCGGGCGGCGAGAAGCAACGCGTGGCTATAGCACGCGCGATACTCAAGAACGCACCTATCATCGTGTTCGACGAGGCCACATCCAGTCTGGATTCACTTACTGAGCACGTAAGTCGATTTGTTTCAAATTCATAAGTAGTTAATCCTTTTTTAGACACTTGTATACGTCCTAAATATAACTTGCTTTAGAACCGCTTCAGGATAATATATCGGCTGCTGCTGAGGTTTCATAGTCTTCTTCACTGGAGAGAAGTTGACTTGATACTTAACTTAAAACTCATTTTCTTCTGATCAATCTTGTCTAAGTCATAATTCCCTACTGAATTAGTTTGGACAACACACGTGTCAAGGTATTGCCACACCTAACCTTTGTTGCTTCAAACTAAAAAATATTACCAGCTTTGCTAATTTTGCTTCAATCAAAGATACCTCTTTAATGGCAAAGATAGCGGATTTCATGGTATGGAATAGATACTGCGATACAAGCTAGCCTGGTGCAAAACCTGTGGCTCTGAGAATACTTTATGTTTTTAGAATGCAAGATTAAAGATTTTAATGCCACTATTCCTTCCAGGCGATTCTCCAAGCGCTCAAAGCGGCAACCGTAGGCCGTACATCAATCTGCATCGCACACCGACTATCCACAGTCGCCGACGCCGACGAAATACTAGTGTTGGAACACGGATCCATCTCAGAGAGAGGACAACACCATGAATTAATAAACAACCCTAAGTCCTTGTACTACAGGCTGTGGGAGAAACAGAACAAGGATATACCCTTGAAATGAGTGATACGTTGATAAAGTGTATTTAATTTTGATACTGTTTGGCTCGGATTACATGTACAGTCAATGCAATGAAGACCATACATTTTTGATATAGGTCGCGCAACGAATCTTGAGGCTAACACTTACACTGATATAATATTTGAATTTAGAACACAAAATATCTCAGAATCAGAATATGCAAAACGTTAGTACCTCTGTGGTAATATAGCCAGTTCCTCCGTGGTTGAAGATTCCGAGTGAAGCTCGCTTCCACCTTCGGCCTGATCGTCACTTACCATCAGGTGAGATACAGGCCAAGAGCTTCCTCGTTGTGGATAAAAAAAAAGCTAGCATCCATAACAAGCATATAAGTTGCTTACTTTGGTGCTAGTTGGCGCTGTGTGAAATTGTCCAAATTTATTTATTTTATTTAAATCTTAGCTTGTAATGATCGCCTCAAGTTTTGCTACGCGACCTATACAAAATCGCATCTATTAAAGTTATGTAAGATGCTACAATGTTTACGTTGACGTGCTGTCTGTAGTTTGGTGATTCGTGTGTCGGTCGCGGGTTCGATGCCCGCACCGCACTAATAATTATTAGAGACTATACATCAGTCTCGGTATTTTTTATGTATCAAAAAGTATTTATGTATGTCCATTTCTTTGGCACTTTGGTACTCCTGTTGCAAAGTATATGGCGCTGTGTACATTTTTATTTATTTATGTTTTTCGTTGTATTTATTTATATTGCCTTTCATCTATTGAGCATAAAATCTGGAGCAAATTTTGAGCGTGTTGTAACTAAAGAATTTGGAATATATTCGGGCTAAGCCCGAACCTAAAGTTGACTGGATCGATGTTTTTGTATTCAAAACAAAATTGACTAAAGTGAAGGCATATTCAAGTAGCCAATGAGAGTCATGAGAAACTATAAAAGGCAGTTACACAAAATTTCATTTTTCCAAATGAAAGTTAAGCTGAGGCTATACAATCTATTTGTTTGTAAAACTACACCCTATTTATCTTAGAAGTGTATAAAATAAACATATTATTCTATACTAAGACAATTTTGTAAAACACAGTCACTAAAGGCATGAAGAAATACTTGCATAAAATAAGAAAAAAAAATATGAGCTCATGTCTACGTGGCCTAATATTGTAATATTCTAGTCTCTACCTCTTAAACTTGAAATCAAATTGTATCACAAGTAATATTAGATGAAATAAACATGTTCAAAATCGTTGTTCTGAAAATACCTAGTTTAATAAATAAAATAAAAATTATACTTCTGAACATAGCTGCTATGTATGTAACAAAAAAACTGAATAGTTGTTACTATTATAAACGAACATTGTTCTACCTTTTCAATGAAATAATAAGATTTTGGTTAATCTATTTTTATGTTATTTTGATAATAAAATGTCTGTAAGCACTTCTGCTATTAAAGGCAACCCTTGCCGCTCATATGTAAATATTGTACGTTGATACTTATGTACATTGTACAGTGAACATAATTTGTTGAATAAGTATATTATTTTGATTACAATTCATTGTTTTATTTTTACCGACAAAAAGCTTTAGTAAGGTCATCCCATTTGTTGAAATTCTTAGAATAATTTTCTTTGGGTGTTATAAATGTAAAAAAAATAGGAATAAGACTTCAACCTTTCATATTATTCCATAAAATGAAGACATTTTGCACCGCCTCCATAATAAGTTACCTATGTAAAAACCTTGATATTTTAAATTATTATTCTACTAATATTATAAATGCGAAAGAAAGAGGTAGGTATTACATGTCAAAGTAAGTTTGGTTTATTACACTATTTTGTAATCAAAAAACATGGTTTGGTCGATGGCCACGCGAAAAAAAAAGACGCCACAATTTGTGCCACAATCCATACAAAATGTACCTATGTTACTTGGAGCGATTTTAATAAAATTTGGTACGGAGTTAGCTGACACTGGATTAACACAGTTTTACCGCGGGGCACAACTAGTAAGTACATAATAAATATTGTTTCGACCCAAGTTATTTATTTGGATCCCTAATTTATCTGGCAGATAAGTCTCATTATCAGTAACCCCGTGTTCCGCGTGACGCAGGCTATTACAGTTTATTGGACGGTAATCGCTCATTGATATCTGAGCCCTCGGCTTAGCGAAATAGGAACAACTAACAAATTAAATCCCTAAGCCCTGACCGTGTTAACAAGTGGTTTTTGTTCGCGGTTGGTCTCAGAATCGTAAATAGAACGGGAATTCGATTCTTATTAATCCTTTTTCTAAGATGATTGTTATTAAGTTTTAAATAAACTAAATTAGATGCCTAACAGGAATAATCAAATTGTTTGGCCATTTTATTTAGAGCTGAAATTGACCAAGGTTAAAAAAAACGACGCTGTAAAACGGTTTGATTGATACTTTACTACGAACTTAGGTAAGGTAAAGTAGTATTCATAAACTTATAATATTTAAAATTATTAAGTAGGTACTTAACTGCCCTATAAAGTCACGTTACATTTTTTTTAGATCCTTAGGTAATTAGAATTATACAGGGTGTTAGGTAAATGGGTATATGAGCCGACACTAACCCATGTTAACATGGTCATATAAATGGTATGGTGAAGTCAGAAAATTTATATCTTCATTTTTATGATTTTATTTTTCATACAAATCGTATTTTATAAAATTTATTTTGTATGAAAATTAAAAAAATTAAAATGATGATATCAAATTTCTGACTTCACCATACCATTTATATGACCATGTTAACATGGGCTAGTGTCGGCTCATATACCCATTTACCTGAACACCCTGTATAATAGTGGTACTTAACTGTTCGTTCTGAGTATTAGCCATTAGGTTTATTTACTTAAAAAGAAAAATATTAGGTTCTAAGAACGCAGTCTGAGCTCTGACCGAAAAATTTTCTTTGAACAGAAAATTGAAAGCTAATACTCCTGGGATGCTAGCTATACCATTTTCGAGGGGTTCGCTTCGCAATAGTCTGGGACAAAAAGTCAGATATTACGCGGGTCTAGCCCCGAGCTAAGAGACCCAATTTTATTTTTCTCTAGGTGAATAATTCTGGAAATAAGATTTGCTTTGTTTGATGTATCAGTTGTATTTCAAACGAAAATAACTCGGAGGCGACACAGCCTAGACGCCTGAATTCAGGCCAACAAAGATTAATTTGTCTGAATTTTCTTACCTATGTTTACATTAGGTACCTACACTTCTATAACTTAGGTAATTAGAGTTAAAAGCGGTGTCACATGTTAAGTAGGGTTTAAGATTCCCTAAATAATGCGTGACATGTTTGCTCTTGAATTATTCTGACATTTTGTTCCCTAATGTTCAAGGCTTAAGAGTAGGCGCTCACCGTTGATTTTTAGTTGGCCGATAGTTGTGCCCGATTTTAATTTGTATGAAGAATCGGCCAAATCGAATCGGCGTAGTGTGCGCACTCCCATACATGCCCATACTGATCAACTGCCCGATTAAACTATCAGCCGACGAAAAATCAACGGTGTGCGCATACTCTTAGGGTTACCTACTCCAAGTTCATTTAGTTACAAGGGTCTATTGTTAGATCTGCCTAAAATACTGTAAGCTAGAAATCGCCTGAAGAATGGCTATTTTACCTAAAATCTACTTTTGTAAAAACTTTAATAAATTCCTTAATCGACCTCTTTACACAAATCGGCCAGTGTTATCACGTTTTCAATCGATTGACATGTTATCGGTCGCATAGCAACGCGATCACCAACAAAACTGCAATTTTTAATTTATTTTCGTCGAAAATATCGTTTCTGGCTCGCTTTTTGAGCTTTGTTTTGTATTTTGTACAGAAAATGGATATTTTCTTGTGAATAAGAAGAATGTCAGTGCTGAGTTTGATCCCGGAGGACAAAAGGAAAGATCACAGGTTTGTTGGCTAATTATCTGCAATGCTTTGTTTTTATTTACATTTCAGAAGAAGAATGGTATTCTAGACTCTGGAATCGTCCGTGGAGAATGAATTAGCCGGCGCAAAAGTATTGGCAAAACTTTTTCCTTAGCAAATTTTTTTATTAGATCAAGTAAGTCTACCTAACTTAGTGCTGTTTACATCACCCTACAATACTTGGATCTCTCACGTAAGTTATTCAATAAGTTTTAAGTATTTGTAGCATACAATGTATAATTTTGTTTATTTTTAGTTTTTAGGGTAGACTTTTGAACTAATTTCAAGTTGGATTGTTTTATTAACCCATTTAGCCCTACCGTACCCTATGTGGTACGGTATCTTTTCGAAAATATTTCGAAGTACCAAACTGTTGTTAATTTGTAAAAATGATTGTGACAGTAAGCTTAAAGTGATTATTTTACATAAAAATATTTAAAAATATGTTTTAACAAGTGGTTTTGGAAATATTTATGAAATTCCTCGACAGAAAACAAAAAAAATATTTACAATGTATTTAAGAAGGTATAATTTCTTATTATTGATGGTAAATTATGTTATTTATCAATTTTATTTTAAAAATAGAGTACAATAGATATCATGACTACAAAAAAAATATTATTGAGATTATTTTATATACGATTTATTCCAGTCTAAAATAGGTGTACCGTATAAGGTACAGTAGGTCAATGCATGAGCAAATCATGCGAAAAAATATAATTTAATATTTATTATTTTTATTTGTTTTAGGCTATTGATGCTTCACTATATTACCACAACTCATGAAAAATTTGATAATTTCAGCAAACATAAAGCAATCTTGGTAATTTTCTACTGCTGTCTTGTCAGATGACCGCTAATGATGATCAGATTGACGAAGATTTAGGCGATAAAGATAGTGTCAATGTAAATAATAACCCTCAGAGTTTTCTTCGATGGATTTGCTAAATTTCCATCGTCGTGTTGCTAAATGCGATTATGGATAGCACTAGACCTAACAAATCAGAAGAAGCCAGGTCTTCTTCAGCTATCCTCACTAACTTCGGAGAAGGTAGGAATTTGGTTCTTTACCAAATGTGGTTAGTATCACAGAAAACGTCTTACAAGATATGCCCAGTGTGATACTAGTGATTGTGTGATTTTATTTTTATTTTATATCATACAAAAATAAATAAAAATCTTCTTTGAACAACGACAATGTTTTGCTTGCTTATAGACCTACTGTACCCTATATGGTACGGGCTCCCCACGGCCCCCTATTTATGGATTATTTTTTTAAATATTTTTTTCATGATTTATAGGCTTTCCTTTGTAAGTTTTTGCTGAAAAATCGATTTTTATTTACAAAAATAATTATCGGTCTAAATGGGTTAAACTACTCGAATTTTCCTACTTCAGTTAGGTACTTAGATTTGCTTTCTTCAAAATACCTAATTCTAGGATAATACTAAAGCAGGTAGCTTTTGGTGTTTCTTCTATTTCTCACGTGTTTTTTTTATATTTCACATCATGTTTGAATTTTTTTTTATACAATTACCTAATGCCCGTTTTCACCATCAATCCCTAATTTTTAAGTGACCATTTTGAAAACAAAATTCCCGTTATGTGTTACCATAGGGGTCACTTTAGAATTAGGGATTAATGGTGAAAACGGGCCTAAGACTTACTACAAGAAGTTATGGGCTAGTAGGTATCCCTACTACCTAGAAATAACCTCTATTCCTACCTACCGCGAGTTAAAAAAAATAGGCAAGTAAGTAGATTTTTGTTGTTTTTGTCGTTGAGTTCGTTGTAACTAAGTTATTACATTATGTAATTAATTTAATTGGAAGAAAGTTTAATATAATAATAAAACTATCTACCTACCTCTAGGTTCGACATTTTTATAGGAATTTTATCAAGACCCTAAATGAAATACTAAATAGGTACGTATCTAACACCTTTAACCTTGCTATTATTGTTACGCTAAGTATTTTCTTCAACATTATATTATATTAGGTAAGCCTTTTAATAGAACCTAAAGCCTTAATGGAACCCTAAGTACTCAATTTAGGCCAGTCTACAAATTTTCGGCATTTAACCTTGGTCCTATAGAAATTAGGAACGGAAGAATTGCGCAATTCAGAAGCTTTCTTTTCAAGTCTTCTATTGCCCATATATCTAAAACCCTTGCTTGCTCAAATAAATACTTTGAAATTGTACCTACTTTTGACACTCAAGAACAGCGTGGCCTTTTTATTTAAGAAAGTTCACATGCACAGCAATCTGCACTGAAATAGGTAATTTTATTTGCCAATTAGCCCTTTCGATGCGACGTTATGTAGGAATATAACGGAATTACGGAGAAAGCTACAGTCTTGTTAACGGGGCTTTACATTATGTAGATTGGAAACACAAAGGGGATGCATCAATAAGGTTACCTACACGTGCAAATTAGATTAATCTGCTTAGAATTATCAGTCCCAAGGTCTATTTGTGTTAATCCAATCGCGAATTTCAATAGGTTTTCAGTACAATGAGATCTAGATTCTGAGATCTTACGTAACTACTAAATTAAAACGACATTATCCTTTTGTCATTGGTTTTGGTAGTCAAAGGTAGAGACGACAAATTATTTGCAAACTAGATTTGTAGTTTGCTCACAATTTTTAAAAGTCTAAAAATAATGAGGGAAGTTGCCTTTTGTTCCTGGACTTTTATTTTTATTTACCAGAGGCTAAATATAGGATTGGGCTTAAGCCACACCCTGGGTTGGGGAGTCCCGATGTTCGGTAAATCTAATTTTTTCGCCTCTTACGACATCCATGGGAAAAGGAGACAGATGGATAAAAAAGAAAGAAATGCACTGAAGATAATTATGGCACAATTTAGGCATTTATCTCTTCCAGTCAACCTACAGGACAGTTGTTTAAAAGATTTAATAAGGGAAAGCGGCAGTAGGTACAGCTTAATACGATCACTGCTTATGACACATACGGATGCGTTTTTTGCTATCGCAACGCCTGTGCGGCCGCTCACGTTTTACGTGTTTCATAATTCTCCATACGGCCGTGCGGGCTCACACGCAAATGTGCATGTGGATTGAGTGATCCTTGCTTCAATCTTAACAAAAATCGAGGAAGTTTTACTTAAAATATGTTAAAACATTGCGATGAAGTTTAAAAATTTGTTAAACCTAAGATAAAAATGTTATGGCCAATAAATAGGAGCACTCATACCGCACGCTTTAAGAAAACGTCAACATGTTTATTTCAGAAAATAAAGCCTTTCCACTTCTTTTTATAGTATTGAAAAATTGTTAAGAATATGTTAAAACTATTAACAAATTCAGAAATTCCTTGCACGTCCCGTTCCAAAGTTATGACGATTATTTAGGATCACTCACACCGCACACGGGCCGTATGAGTGCTCTTCAAAATAATGACTTTTTATTAATAAATACGTTTTATTTCTGTTGGGAAATGTGTGCAAACTGACGAGCGAATTTGTTAAAGAATAAGTGTGACAAAACTTAAAAGCTGAAGGAAGAAATTAACCTTTATTCTTTCCTCCAATATGCCGTGTGAGTGATCCTTACTTTTACCTCTATCTGCTCATATGTAGTTCGTAGGCAGACTGAGATAGTATCTAAAATTGTTAATTGTTTTTAACAATTATTTGGCATATATTTTGCTTTTATTAAGGTCATAATTTAAGAAATATCAGGCTTAGATGATTCCTAAAGGAAAATGTTGATTAGGGTACATATGATTTTTTATTTTGTGAGACTGTTCCGATTCGTCAGACGTGACAATGCAAAACCAATGCAATCTAATATGTAGTAGGTTTAGGGGCCTCCGCTAAAACTCGCGGGGGGCGTCCGTCGCCGCGGTCGGCAGTAGCGCGAGTTTTAGTGGTTTACCCCTACATCTTGAATGATAGAAATAAAGAAACATTACAATTGTTTATAGGATTGAATTCAAATTTGACTTGTAATATGAATTGAGAAAGATACTCACGGTTTTATTTAAATAAATTACAAATTTCTCAACAAAACTTTTTTTTTTTGGTTGGACTATAAAATACGATAAAATAATATTATTAAATCTCACATGTAAACTTCTGATGAATCGAAACAGTCTCTCAAAATAAAAAATCATACGTACCCTAATCAACATTTTCCTTTAGGAATCATCTAAGCCTGATATTTCTTAAATTATGACCTTAATAAAAGCAAAATATATGCCAAATAATTGTTAAAAACAATTAACAATTTTAGATACTATCTCAGTCTGCCTACGAACTACATATGAGCAGATAGAGGTAAAAGTAAGGATCACTCACACGGCATATTGGAGGAAAGAATAAAGGTTAATTTCTTCCTTCAGCTTTTAAGTTTTGTCACACTTATTCTTTAACAAATTCGCTCGTCAGTTTGCACACATTTCCCAACAGAAATAAAACGTATTTATTAATAAAAAGTCATTATTTTGAAGAGCACTCGTACGGCCCGTGTGCGGTGTGAGTGATCCTAAATAATCGTCATAACTTTGGAACGGGACGTGCAAGGAATTTCTGAATTTGTTAATAGTTTTTACATATTCTTAACAATTTTTCAATACTATAAAAAGAAGTGGAAAGGCTTTATTTTCTGAAAATAACATGTTGACGTTTTCTTAAAGCGTGCGGTATGAGTGCTCCTATTTATTGGCCATAACATTTTTATCTTAGGTTTAACAAATTTTTAAACTTCATCGCAATGTTTTAACATATTTTAAGTAAAACTTCCTCGATTTTTGTTAAGATTGAAGCAAGGATCACTCAATCCACATGCACATCACACGCAAAGCGTGTTTTGCCGATGTAACACCTATGCGGCTTCACACGTAAAGCATGTTTTGCCGATGTAACGCTTATGTGGACAACACATACGTCTGTGTTTTGATATTAACTATTTTTATTCCAGAAAAGAATCCCTAGAAAGCGTCTACAGCAGCAACTCCCGACTGAACCTGCTCAACAAACGAAAGCGCCTCAACCCCCTCGTCGATATGTCCAACCCCTCGCTCAATAGTAAGGCGGGCGGCGACCGCTACGTCACGCAACGGGTGCTCTCGGCCAAGACGCACAGAGTCAAGCAGCTGCAGAACCAGCTGGCTGACGCCCATTATCATCTTCAGGTATGCCAATCCAAACTAATCTAATATAATCCTACCGGTGACACCATCCGAAAGGATTCTTATGGGTGAAGAAATAAGATGCTAAGACGAGTAGCTATAGAATCAGCTGGCTGACGCGCACTATCACCTTCAGGTCAGATTTCTTGTAAATTAGATCCCACCAGTGTCATGTCCAGAGAGGAATCTTCTGGGTGAAGAAATGGGATGCTTAGACAACAGCAACTCCTGGTTGACTGCTAAACAAGCGTCTCAATCTTGTCGTCCACATGTCCAACCTTATCTTCAGGTGAGAATTCCACTAGTGCTAATGGAAACTAACCTGATTAATGCTGCTGGCTGATCGAAGATACGTTAATTCACACCTCTCGTTCCTACCGCTGCTACAACTGTGTAGCTAGGATCTACAGATTGATCGCAAATAAAAGTTCAAGTTAGTCCCTGGTGGAAACTCATCGGAGACAGATCTTCTGTCCTCTTCCCTCCCATTTCTCACTGTGAGGAACATTATAGTGTTCCTCCACAGACTGCGGTTTATAAGCTGTGTGGACAGGACGATTCATACTTCCACCACAAACGCAAAGACTTGTAAGCAACGCTACTTCCGAAAACTTTTATTACTACCGCCTTGACGCCACAACAAGTTTGTTTAATTTTCCTAGTTTTATTGTCGCCTTGGGTGCGTTTTATGGAAATTAATTAATTAAAATTTCCAGGAGCTGAGCAACGAAAACCGCGTTTTGCGGGCAATACAAAAGAAGCAAGAAATTGCATTGCAGCGGTAAGTAAATAGTCAGTAGTTACAGTTCCACTGTTTATTCTATGTATGTTGAATGAGAGTATGCAAAATAAAGGCAGGTCACAAGTTTGTAATCCGACGAGGGTTTGACCCGTTGAACCCATCTGCGCCAAAAGACAAGCCGCGAAATGTTCTTGTTACTAGATTTTTCTCGTCATCTAAGTAGTCAACATAAAAGCCCTTTTTCATTATTAATTTCATTCAGAAAGATGTAATAGCTTTGAAAGTAGTAAAGTTCTGTGTTTATAAGCTCAGTCATTGACAACAACAAAAGTTGGAATAGCGTACTATTATTTATTATGCAAGCTACAGTTTGTATACAACGATGAATAGTTAGTATTTTACGACTACTAAAACTTAGATTTTCCTGCCTAATCACATGTTTTATCACTGAGATGAAAGTAGAGCTGAGATTTTAATTAAATTAAGTCTAAAAAGCCCTCTACAATAAAACTGGAATCTATTCTAGGTCTAAATTAATTTCGACGCTTAAGCGGATCGCGTAAGTTTTTCTTATTTTGCTATAACAATTACTTACAAAAAGTCATCATCATCATTGTCAGGTCATTTGAGACATAAAGACAGAGCAGTGTCCACTGCAGGAGCTCTACTCTACAATTTGCCAGTGACAAATGGACTATTTGGCCTACTGCCCACGCTCTGGCTAGGTTGGGGAGGTCTGATATTAGCACATTTTTTTAAAAGATTCATTTAGTAATTTGTTATTACACAAATTACTAATACTCCCGTTAGCCCTGGTACTAAGCTTAATATGCTTGTATCACGAGTGAGCTCACTACAATAGTCAAGCGAGTCGGCCAGTCCGACCCCTTCACCGTTCGGCTATCGTGGCTTAAATTTCTTCTTTTATTGCCTGATGTATGACATCCGCGGAAAGGTTAGGGCTAACCTATTAGACTCTGCTGGACTCATGTGGCTACTCATCATCGTGTTACAATGTATTTATGATTCTAGATACGAGAATTCAAACGCAGAGCTTCCCCAAGTGTTGAACTCGCACAATGAGGAGATCAGAATCCAGCAGAGCAAGTACAAGCAGTTGAAGCAGCAGTACAAAGAAGTGTCACAGCGGCTCAAGGAGAGGGACATGCAGCTGCAGCAGCTGAAGGATGACCACCAACATCTGCTGGAGTTGAGTAAGGACAGGTAAGTTCAAATTCAAATTGTTTATTTGCCTACTAAGTTTACATTAAAGGTCTTATCACTAATACATGTGTGCTTATTACTTAGTTACCTAGACTGGCTGGACAGTTATATTGTGAAGGCTGTCCTTGCACCTATTTCAACACTGGATCGTCCCAGCTATGAAATTGTCAGAAGGGCTGGATTATTAGTTCCGAGTTTTGCCACGTTGGACAACCATAATATAAATGACATTTACAGGAGGGCTATTTACTATCAATACTGCGTTTTATTAACTATTACTGCGTTGGTCGGCCGTTTGGTGTAGTGGTTCGAAACGGACTACTATTCCGGAGGTTGTGGGTTCGATTCCCGCACAGTACAAACATTTGTGTGCATGAACATATTTGTTTGTATTGGACTGGGTGTTTTCTATGTATAATATGTATGTATTTACAAAAAAAAAGTATTTAAGTATGTTTATATCCGTTGTCTAGTACCCATAATACAAGCTTTGCTTAGTTTGGGACTAGAAGCGCAGTGTAAAATGTCCAAGGATGTTTATTATTATTATTAGGTCCGATTTTTTCCACTTGACGTTTCAAAATCGTTTGACTATAAATTATATTTTATTTTATTGTATTTATTTAAACAACCCGTTTATGTCAATTTAAAATAGTGTTCAATTGACCGTTTATCTTTTTGTAATAAGCCTCATAATATTTTATTTAGTTAGGTAAATACTTAGTGTCAAGAGTGTATTCTTAAGAGAAACTTTTACTCAGGAACCTGCTAGAACGCGAGAAGCTACAGAACCAAGTGTCGGACCTATCACTTCGGGTGCAGCAGCAGAACGAAACGATCAGCATGCTGCAGCGCCGCATAGCGCTTGAAGCGAAGAACTTCAGGCACCAGCTGCAGAATGAGATCAACAAGCACAAGGACACGAGGCATGATCTGGATCTTGCCATCAACAATGCTGACAAGCTTACTACTATTATTGAGGTCAGCAATTATTATTACCTAAACTTGCAGAGTTTAAGACATTATAACATTTACTATTTTACAGTAAATTGTAATCAATATCAAAAATTCTAAGATTATTTTTATTCACCGAGATAGTGTGGTGCAGTAAAATGTGGTCTTATGTTTTAGAGAAGTGCAGTTTATCTCACCATCTATTTTGAAGTTTTCGTTTGCAAAAAATAAGTTACTATTCACACCTATTATATACCTTTACAATTTCTTGCCTATTGTTTTCTTACGACCTTCGTTAAATTTCTTTTTATCTGTTAAATCCCTTTTGCAAGCAAGATGTCAACACATACCAATTTGCAATTTATTTTTAGATGAAAGAAAAAATGTTGAGCACCGCTGCTAGTAGAAACGTGAAGTCTCCCACTAAGCCTCCGTCTACAATCACAAGTGCTCGTCCTCTTAGCAAGACTAAATCCAGCGTCGAAATCGCTAGAACTGAGGAAAGATCAAACGTAAGTAATTATTCAAGTTTTCTTTCCTTTTGCTCGTCGTTATCGTATTTTTATCGTTATTTTTTTTGTAGATGGATCAAAACATCTTGGCCAAGCTATGCGAGAATTCAAGGAGTTTGAGCAGTTGTTTATCCCACGATGAAGAAACATCATCTTCCACGGAACCTAAGTCACGATATGCTACTAGAAGTCGCACGAACTCTAATAGTACCCGTTCGACACCTAGCCAGAACCGAAAGAATTCCAAAGGTTCCGACGACATGATCGAATTGGCGAAAACTGTTCAAGACGGCATGGCTGATCTTGCTATCTTTGACGACGACATCGACTTCAAAAACTCGTCTCCTGATGAAGTTCAAAAGAAGATTGATGTTCTTAAAGCAGATCTACTAAACAAAATAAAAAATGATGAGGCTCCTTCAAGAAAGCCTAGTGCACTTCGAAGAATGTCTACAGAAGAGTCGATAGAAGAAGAGATAGTAGAATCGGAGGATACAGAACGTCCCAAATCTAGAGGAAGAAGGAACTCAAACGTTTCGTTCTTTGAAAATGTCACCGTTGAGGAGACCACTACTACTGTGACCATTAACAATGAAGACCGTAAACCAGTTAGAGAGAATAGTGTATTAGAGAGAAAGCTATCTGGGAAACCCGTTGAGAAATATTGCAAAGACATAATACACGACATTGAGAAAAGCAACAAACTTATCGAGAGACACGTGAAGCAATTCAACAACTCCAGATTCGAGAGTGACAAGCTAGTTCAGCAGTTGGAGGCTGTGGATAAAATAAACGAATTCGTCAATTTTAATGGAGAAATTCCTGAGGCAGCGTTGACTGAATTGAATAATAACTTCAAGATGTTAACTGACAAAGTGTTGACTGATTCGGTACCAGCAACTAGGAAGAGGTCTATTTCAGGGAGAAGGAGTTCGAGGGCTGAGTCTAAGACGAATATGTTGGATGACGGCATGAGTAACCAGGACTTGCTTGAAGATTTGTTAGGGAAGAAATGACATAACCCTATCCTGGACAACGATGTAGAGATCTTCCAAGTGTTGTAGCGATCTCGTTGTCAGGAGCCTTCGTTGGATCGATGATGGTATGCTTTTGTATTAATTATTTATAATGAAATTATTGGAATTAACCTTGCCATTATGTGTGAACTTGTAACTTTACAAGGTGGTTTATTTATGGTCGTTTAATGTTCATGAATGAGCTTAAAGGGAAAACGGTCTTGTTTCACAACATGTAAACATTTCATTGATAAAGTTGTTCAATATCCATAACGAAGCCGAATACTATTTTTGGTAATTTCCCGGAACTTTCCTTTGGAATTTGAATCAATGGCCAATAAATGGGCTGTTATTACGGGACGTAGTAACTACTTCATATTTTTAGCACATTATCACTGAGATGTTAAAGGTTTAGTCAATAAAATCGTAATAATATAGTTCCCTATAGGTCAATTTAATATAATCTTATAAAATTTAGTTCACTCTAATGCCAAATGTACTTCACGTATTGATCGATAAATTATATAGATCCTGCATAGATACAATTTTTCAGCTGTAAGCAATATTATGCGGAATGTTTGATCAGTTTGTTAATAGTATGGAAATATTTATAATAGTGTATGAATTGGTTATTTTAGTTAACCTTGGAACAGTCGATTCAGTCCTTTTCCTCTCATATTTTGTAAAGTTAACAAACTGTTGATGGTTTATTTGTAATCAAAAGTACAGTTGGGTTCAAAATTGTGAGCACGTTTGTCTAGGGATGTGTGGTTAACAAATGCGCATGAATTAAACTATTTGAATAGTGTGGACGTTGAGCTGAAGCTACGAATCAAATTCAGAGAGCATGGCTTTAAGGCGATTAGAGTCCTCAATGACCTTGGGCGTTTGACCTTCACGCCGCGAGCAACACCCGCGCACCCCGCACCAAAAACTCCGATTTGACACCGATCAAAAATACACGGGCATAGGTAGATACAGAATAGAAGCTCTTTCTTCATACATTACTGCCTATTATTTTAAACTTAAATTGATGAACCTTGATGTCGGTGTCATTTAACTCAGGCGTAAAGGTATTTAATAAAAATAACAAAATCCATGAACATTTTGTGCGGGATAAAATTTTATTTTATTTTTTGTAAATTTTCTAATGCTTTTGTCGGTTCAGTCGTTCTCGAAATTTGAACAAACCCGACTTTATTACAAGCTTTTATTTAGCTTGCAATTTATGATGTAGGTAATTACATAAATGTTTGTTCGGGTGGAATCTTGCAAGCTGAATTAGTTAGACCAACTTCCTGACGACAACTAGGCTAGATGACAAAATTTCAATTATTTGTCCGTCAGACAGATAATTAGAAAATATTAGACTCATATTTTTTATTTTCTTTCATAATTAAATAATAACAGTGCTACATCGAGTTGAAATGGCGCGATACGCCACGCTTGAGTAGAATTTTTACTCAAATGTGACGTCACGCGACATTTCAACTCAATATAATACTGTAATTATTCGATTATGGAAAAAAATAAAAAATATAGTCTAATCTTTTCTAATTATCTGTCTGACGGACTAAATAGAATTTCATAGACATTGGCGGAACAGTGTGCCCCCAGTGGCGAAAAAACACAAGTCCATCGCCATCAACAAATAAAGAAGAAGAATTTCGATTTCATTACCCAGTCATCATCCCTATTGGAACGCATTAGTACCTAGTATTGTCTATGGCCTAAAAAAGCAAATGTTTCTGCTTTTGTCTATTGTCATTCTCTCTGTGTGACTTATGAAGAATAAACTGAAAATGTATTTGTCTTTTTATTAGAAATCCTTCATCAATTGATTGAGTTAAAATTTCTGATATACATGTAATACGGGTGACAATTCAATATTGTGATGACATGGAGCTGATCTGATGGTAGAGCTGGAATGCCAGTGGCCCCATAGCAACTCCGGGATTAAACGATTCCATCGAGTTTAGGCTCGTTTGATTTGTATTTATTTATTATTATACCCTTAGATTAATAAAACCTAGATGGATAGTCTTCATACAAACGCTTCGTCAAGAGTGAGGCAAAAATCTTATGTCATTAGTGTCAATTTTGTTGGGGAGTGTAGACAGTGAAGGCGATTTTCCCGAAAGTAGGGAAATTTTTAATACGTTTTTAATAATTTTATAATTAACAATAACAAAACGCATCACGTACTTACTTATTTATTGAATTCAAAGTACCTACCTAATAACAATAAGATAAATCGACTTCAAAGTCTCGATTTCATAAAAAAGGAAGTGTATTTGTACGGCGAACAATTGGGAAATACATTTTCTTGTTACTGGTATCATTCCCGTATTTAATTTTTGAAAGCCAAATTCAAGCAAAATACGCGTCGAATCGTAGTACTTACTTATGAAATGTAACACTGGTCACTTTCTTTTGTTTTTCTGATGTATTTTAGACACCCTTTCACAGCACAAACCGTTTTAATTAATTAAAATTCGTCGGACGTGTTTACCAATTTTTCACTTTGACAGTTAATGTGACGTTTACGGGTAAGCCGTGCCGGCTCCCTAAAAACTGCCTCACCTTTCGTGCACTGACTATCTATCTAGGTTTTATTAATCTAAGATTATACCTAAATAATTTCATTACAATTTTCTAAAAATGCACAAAAACTTAAAAATCTTGAAAACGGTGATATTTTTACTGGGGTCAAAATTGGACGTTAGGGAAACCATGGCGAGGCCTATTGATGGTTGAAGGGTTATCCATTGTTTTTGGGACACCCTGTATAAGCAAGTAACACAGGATATTTTTATTTGTCNCGCCTTAATTTTACATGAATTTCATACATACAATTATTTTACGCTTGTCTCTATGCAGATTTTAATTTTTGAATTAACACAGTATGTTAAAACACCCTGTTCTATTGTAGGGGATTAACATCTACAAAAAATAACGCTTCTCCATACTAATGGACCGATCATTCGTTATTTTGGCAAACAGCAAATGAGTAGCTAGAGTATTGCCTGCTTTTTAAAGAGAGTGCGACTCCCTCTTTTTCTTATTTTCACTAGAATTTAATATTCTTCCGGTTACACCATAGTAGCAAATCATAAAAAAAATGATCTGATTCTGTTGTAAAAAATAATGATCTGATTCTGTTTTCGTACTTACGTAATCCTAACGTTTACTCTAAATGTTTCAAAAATATATTTCACGACATTAAGGCTGGGTTGCACCATCTTACTTTAACCTTGACAAACGTCAAAAATATACAAATCTCAAAAAATATAAAAAATATACAATACAAAAATCACCGGTTATCGTCATAGCTACGGTCAAAGTTAGGTGGTGCAACTCAGCCTTACTTTAGTTTCCCGTCAAGCGAGAGAGTCACATAATATCTTTTGAACAAAAGTTTTTGCACTCGACTGTACTTACCTATTGTAAATTATAATGGAATTGATGTTGTCGATTGAGTGGTTTCGTGTGGCGAGTTTTTTGTATCTCGATGTATAATGGCCTCTTTATAGATTGTTATTTATATTAACTATGTGATTGAGTGATAATAGAATATTATATTTTTGTGATTATGCGTTTTTTTTTTCAGTTCTATAAATCCTAATTCATTCGATGCATAGATCCTAATTAAAAATATGTATTTATAAGTACCTATAACCCGACACACATTTCAAGAGCGTAAGCATCATAAGGTTGTGCTTGAATTATTTGATATTCCTAAAGGAAGTTTTAAAATATCCAGTCACTTTCAAAGTGATGAGCCTAACAATTTAGGTTTTGTTCAAATTGGACTAGAGAGTATGCGAGTAACATTGACTTTGAAATGGGTTAATCCGTTATCTCAGTTTCAGGAGGCTTCAATGCTCCGATTAGGATCCTGGGAATGCCCCAAATTTAGGGATTAGTTACATAGCTATAATTTGGCAGCAAAAATTACTTTAGCAAAATATGAAAACTTAGTTACATACTTAATATTCAAGACTGCACAGTCATGTTAAACGCATAATATTGTGGTTAATTTGCGTTTAGCTATTTATAAGATAAACTAATTTTTCGAATTTAAAGTAAGAATTCTGATTCTGAGAAATAGTTCAATTTATAGGAATTCAGATAGTTAACTTAATTAAGATACTTCATCCTGTCGAAATATTTATACCTATCATTTCTGGAACAGGAATAAAAAACATGAAAATTATAACGAAATATTTCTTCCTTGAAAGTATGTACTTCATTATGCTCTTTATGTACTCATTGTCGACAATAAAAACCATTTCAACGAAACGGGCACTTGTGTTAACAACTGTACTTAAAAAGGTACACAAAATTCAAGTTCAAAATAAGAAAGCTTTCAGACTTGAGTGCAATTTGCACGGCCCCTTGAATGTAATAATGTTTCAATAGACTCATAATTAAACCCCCGGGAATCCAATCTGGGTCTGTAAACTAGACAGTTAAGTACAGCTGAAAATTAACTGTTAATTGTCCCTTTACTGCCATCGCGAGATAGTTAACCTTCGGCACGGTTTAAACAGTCTTAAGTTCATCGGCATTAGGCTTATTTTAAAACGGTCTATTTTGTGAAACTGGTTCGTTTGAGGGTGCTGAAGGGGTGGTTTTAAAATGATCGGATAATAATATTATTATCTGCAAAGTAAAAGATGAAACATGACATTAAAATTTGAAAAATATTTTTTTTTCAGAATAATTGATCGTCTAACTAATGTGATAATAACATCGATTGTGTGCATTATTATTCCTAATACTAGCTTTCCGCCCGCGGCTTCGCCCGCGTGGAATTTTGTCTGTCACAGAAAAACTTTATCGTGCGCGTCCCTGTTTCAAAAACCGGGATAAAAACTATCCTATGTTCTTTCCCGGGACTCAAACTATCTCTATGCCAAATTTCATCAAAATCGGTTGCGAGGTTTAAGCGGGAAAGCGTAACAGACAGACAGACAGACAGAGTTACTTTCGCATTTATAATATTAGTTGGGATTATCGGTTATAACTAATAATTCGATACAAATCAAGATTTATTAACTTACGAATATTATACTAATGATACGCCAATACCGATACTATCACAGAATAAAAGTAGGTACTACGATACTACGAATGCTAAAGGTATTGACCGATCACGGTATTCGGTCGTCAACCCACGCACGCTTGTATACGTCGTGTTACCATGAGACTAATCTTTAGTAATATAGATCTAAAAATGCTTTTTATTTGAGCTAGCCAAAGGGCCTTTGGAAACATAAATAATGTTAGAGAATGTTAACAAGTGCTACAAAAATAACAATAAAGTCTTAGGACTCAATCGTGGGGCTCTACAAAGGCTGTTGCCATGGCAACCGACAAAAATGTGAGCTCAAGTGACCAACAGGCCACTCGACTGGAAACGTAGCTATTCAATGGTCTCAAATAAAATAAGTAAAGTGAGTGAAAAGAACGTCGTCCAAGTTCCGTACTTAATTCCTAAGCAAGTACCTAAAACTTTTCTAGGTACTTGATTAAGAGGTATTGATAAATTCTGCACATGATTCAGTAAATACGTGTTTGCTCCAGTAGGTACCTACTTATACCTACCGTTTTTATTAAGCGAACAGAAGGCACGCTTTTAAGCACTTGAGAGCGTTTCACACGATTTGCATGCCCTTTGTGTACTTCGGACTTATTTTTAATAGGTACATATAACCGCGGTCAATAACCTTGCGAATAAGTCTCAATAAAAATAAATTTGTGACTAACCGACCCCTAAAACGCGGCGTTTTTACATATGATCAAAGAGAGAATACAAAGCGTACTTTTATTTCACGGAATACCTGCG